AGTAACCTGTGGGAATCCGAGGAGCTGGTATCAGTGAGGTGCCAGGTAGGGCTGAAGCAGGGGTGGGGGAAGTTGGTCCCAGCAAGGACAAAGCGGGGTACCCAGGATGGGGGTATGTCTGCACCCAAGCCTAGAATGACATCCTTGATGTCCGCCAGCAGCAGGTCAGTTGTGTAGCAGTCCACATCTCCAGGTGCATCCGAGGGGCCATAGCCTCGCAAGTCCACAGCCACAACATGGAAGCGGCTCTGGAACTCCCGGAGCTGGAAACGCCAGGAGAACCTGCCAGGCAGGCCAGGGAGGGAGATTGAGTCAGGGCCTTCAGGTTGTACCTGCACACTACGCCCATCAGGGACCATTGGCAACCCCTCCTTCCTGCTCTAAATTTTCCCTAAAAGGAGGATGGGGAATCCCAGGCAGGGGGAGAGGCTGAGGCTGAAGCCAGCTACACCCTGAATCCAGGGAGCTTTAATTAGCCTCAATACCCCTCTGTCCCATCCCTTCAGGGCCTAGGGATCCTGGGTACGCCGGCTCAGTAGCCCTATCCTCCTCTATGTTCAGCCTGTCCCGATCTACGCAGCCCTCCTCCCTCCTTCTAGGGAGCCGGGGTTCCACCTGCCCCCAAGTCCCGTGCACCCCAAGGCCCCTGGGTCCCAGACTTGCCAGTTCTCAGGGAAGCCGTGCACAAACAGCATGAGGGGTCCGTTGCCTCGTCCAGCTGAGACATAGTGCAGACGCAGGCCCGAGCTCTAGGGGGAGGGCACGGCCTGAAGCCTGGGGAACCCTCCCTCCCAAGGCTTGAGCCGCCTCGACATCACGCGACCCCGCAGCCCGGATGGGCCCCAGTGCTCTCACCTCGAGGTTCAGGAAGCCGTGCTCGCCCAGCGAGGGGTCGCTCAGGCAGGCGGGGGGTGCGCTCCGGCGGCGCCCGCAGCAGCCGCGTCGCGGCCGGCACAGCACGTGCGTGAGCGCGATGCAGCCGTAGACAGCCGCGGCCACCAGCGCCGCCGAGAACACGAGGCTCCACATGAAGGCGCGCAGCAGCTTCAGCGACAGGCGCGACGGCGCCAGCAGCGCGGTCACCACCAGCTCGGGCATGTCGCCGCGCTCCGGGACCACAGCTTCGCTGCCGGCCGGGGGCACCTGCAGCAGCGGCGGGGCGGTGTCAGGGCTCAGGACCCCACCGCCTTTGGCCTGACGCCCCTCCGTGCCGTCGGGGCTTGTGGGACGCGATGAGAGAAGAGGCGGACAGCTCAGGAGTGCACGACTCACCTGAGTGCCAGGTAAACACCTGGGCGCGACAGGGGCGGGAAACAAGGCTAGGGTGCGGGAGCTGCAGAGGGAGGGGTTGGAAAGGGGGGAAAGAAATGAGCGGGGCCTAGAAGGGCCTGGGCGGGGCTTAGAGTTGGGGCGGGGCCCAGCAGGACTCCGCAGTAGGTGGGTGAGGGTCTAAAGAAGGCAATTCCGGGCCAGGAGCGTGGGGCCACGCCTGTGATCGCAGCACTTTGGGAGGCCGAGGCGGGCGGATCACCTGAGGTCAGGAGTTTGAGACCAGCCTGGCCAACATGGTGAAACCCCGTCTCCACTAAAAATACAAAAATTAGCTGGGTGTGGTGGCGGGGCCCTGTAATCCCAGCTACTTGGGAGGCTGAGGCAGGAAAATCGTTTGAATCTGGGAGGTGGAAGCTGCAGTGAGCTGGGATCGCGCCATTGCACTCCAGCCTGGGCAACAAGAGCGAAACTCCGTCTCAAAAAAGAAAAGGCAATTCCGAGTCCAGACAAACCTTGGAGAGGGGTCCTGTGTCAAGTGGGCGGCACCTGGAGTGAGGGGCGGGCATATGCAGAGCAGGTGTGGCCTACAAGCCAGAAAAGAGGGAAGAGTTGAAGTGGTAGGCGTGGCTTACGCGGGTAGGCGGGGAGAGGGTGGGGCCTAGAGGAGGTGAGGCCTAACATTGGGCGGAGAAGGCGGGAGCCTGGGCCAATGAACTGAGGGTCGGCCTGGAGGCTTATGAGGCAGAGGGCGGGGTGGGAACCTAATATGGCGGGTCGGGCGGGCCCGGAAGCGGAAGAAGAGGGACAGGCAATGACAGGTCTAGGACTAGAAGGGAGGCGCGGGCGGTGTTAGCAGACCGAGGAGGCTTCGGGAGGCCCGGGCGCTACCCGCCTGGTGCTCCCTACCCCGGGGTGCGGGACCCTCCCCTTGGTCTGGCTCCAAAGACCTAGCAGCACTGACTTTACCCAGCTCTGGTTCCAACGGCGGGTCCAGCGGCCTCGGCCCGGCGCCGTCCTCCTATTGGCCCAACAGACCAGCTGGCCCACCCCTGTACGTCTGTAATTGGACAGCGGCGGCCACTGATGTCCAAGGGACAGGTCCTAGCCCGGGAGCCAATCGACAGGTGTTGAGCCCCAGGCTCCTAGAGTGGGCAGAGGAGGCGGAGATACCGTTTCCTAGAGGGCCTGCCTGGTTCCCCCAGGAGGACCCGGCCTATTGAGTGACTAGGGTTCTAGCCGAAAGAGGAAGTGGGACAGGGCCGGGTGTGATGGGGCCTGGAGTCACAGAGCCCTGCGGCCCTGCTGTCCCTGCAAGAAACCAACTTCTTCCTCCTATTTTGCAACCTTCTCCCGGTATCCTTGAACATTTTAGGGACACCCATCACTTAACCCGTATAGCAACCCTATTAAATGTAAATGGTAGTATCATATCACTGTAACACAGAACATGAACCTGAATTTCGAGGATGAACTCATTTGCCTGAAACTATACATCTTGTTAAACAGCCATCCACAAAGACGTAGGGAAAAAGGCAGCTATCTGTGGCTACACCTCCCCTTCCTCCCAGAAGCAGCCGTGGGAACATTTTTAGCTTTTTCTTTTTCTTTTTTCAGATGGGATCTCAATCATAGCTCACTGCAGCCTCGAACTCCTGGGCTCAAACCTGTATTTGGGACTACAGGTGTGTGCCACCACACTGTGCTAATTTTTCAAAAACTTTTATTATTATTTTTTTTTGAGACGGAGTTTCACTCATGTTACCCAGGCTGGAGTGCAATGGCGCGATCTCGGCTCACCGCAACCTCCGCCTCCTGGGTTCAGGCAATTCTCCTGCCTCAGCCTCCTGAGTAGCTGGGATTACAGGCATGCACCACCATGCCCAGCTAATTTTTTGTATTTTTAGTAGAGACGGGGTTTCACCATGTTGACCAGGATTGTCTCGATCTCTTGACCTCGTGATCCACCCGCCTCGGCCTCCCAAAGCGCTGGGATTACAGGTTTGAGCCACCGCGCCCGGCCCCAAAAACTTTTAATAGAGACTACCTGCTATGTTGTATAGGCTGGTCTCAAACTCCTGGCCTGTGTCACCATACTCAGCTAATTTTTCAAAAACTTTTAATAGAGGCGACTTGCTATGTTGTCTAGGCTGTTCTCAAACTCCTGGCCTCAAACAATCCTCCAGCCTCGGCCTTCCAAAGTGGGATTACAAGTGTGAGCCACCATGCCTGGCCTCTGTTTCTTGACTTAACCAGTTTCTGACATTAGCCACAGACTTGCTCGTGTCACTACCCCAGCACGGAACATGCTTTTTCTCTATTAGCTTCCTTTAAAAAACTCCACTTGTCACCTCCTGCCCCTTTCCACCTCCCACTTTTGTCCATATACCTTTGTGCTGTCAAAGCTGCTCAACATTATACTGTCCCGGGATCATAATTAAGTCCATGAAGTTGCTACTTAAAGGTGAATAGTGGTTTACGTTCTGCCTCAGTAAACAATGCATCTCAGAGCTGAGTAGACGTCTATGATTACATTGCCCATAGTGTACAAACTTTTGTTCTCCCTGGACTACTTAACCACTACCTTTCTTTTGTTGTGTGATTAGCCTACATCATAGCTTTGGTTTTTCTGAGATGGGAGTCTCCACCATGTTGCCCAAGCTGGAGTGCAGCGGTGTGATCTCGGCTCACTCAACCTCTGCCTACAAGGTTCAAGCGATTCTCCTGCCTCAGCTTCCGGAGTAGCTAGGACTACAGGTATGCACCACCACAGCTGGCTAATTATTTTGTATTTTTTAGTAGAGACAGGGTTTCACTATGTTGGCCAGGCTAGTCTCTAAGGGATCTGACCTCAAGCAATCCACCCACCTTGGCCTCCCAAAGTGCTGGGATTACAGATGTTAGCCACCGCACCTGGCAGCTTTTTTTGACAGTCTCACTCTGTTGCCAGGTGCCAGGCTGGAGTGCAGTGGCACAAGCTCAGCTCACTGCAACCTCTGCCTCTCAGGTTCAAGCAATGCTCCTGCCTCAGCGTCCGAAGTAGCTGGGAATACAGGCGCGTGCCACCATGCTCAGCTAATTTTTTTTTAGTAGAGACGGGGTTTCACCATGTTGGCCAGGATGGTCTTGATCTCTTGCCCTTGTGATCCACCCGCCTTGGCCTCCCAAAGTGCTGGGATTACAGGCATGAGCCACCGCACCCAGCCAGCTTTTGTTTCTTTTTTTTTTTTTTTTTGAGACGGAGTTTCGCTCTTGTTACCCAGGCTGGAGTGCAATGGCGCGATCTCGGCTCACCGCAACCTCCGTCTCCCGGGTTCAGGCAATTCTCCTGCCCCAGCCTCCTGAGTCGCTGGGATTACAGGCACATGCCACCATGCCCAGCTGAATTTTTGTATTTTTAGTAGAGACGGGGTTTCACCATGTTGACCAGGATGGTCTCGATCTCTTGACCTCGTGATCCACCCGCCTCGGCCTCCCAAAGTGCTGGGATTACAGGCTTGAGCCACCGCGCCCGGCTTAGCTTTTGTTTCTTTTACACCCTCCATTAAATCAATTCTGACAATTTGATGTTCCCAGGATCTCTCCTGACTCCACTAATCTGGCCGCATGGCTGGTGGGCACCTGAGGACCCTCCCTTCTTCCTCTGCTGCACATCACTGACCCACACCCTCACCTTCCCACTCCTCCCATGCCTACCCTCAAACAAAAAGACAGCAGCCATCACAGGAGAGTAACTTTATATTCAGTACAAATGTTTATTTTTGCAATGAGAACTGCACAAAAAAAAAGAACCTTTTATATATAAGTGAAAAGTCTACGAATTCCCTTCTACAAATGTCTAAGTGTTTTAATACAAGTCTCAGATTCACTGACATAATTATTGGCCAAGCGATCCGTGCATACAGTACAGTAGGGGCTTGTACACACCTCTTACTCTGGTATAGGACTAAGGTTTCTAGTACTGTGGGAAGGATTGGGAAACGGCTGGAGAAACTAAATAGATCCCAGTTCTAATTACAACCCAGTTAGTGAGACAGCCATTAGGGAGGTGTGGAGGCGGCCATGGCAGAGTTAAATCTTCAGCAGGAAGGTGCAGACAAAACTATCATTCCAGCTCAGCAGTTGGACCCAGCCTGGGGGTGTCTCAACAAAACCAGGAACAAAAATGGGATGGGATGAGATGGAAAAACCCCCGAAGAACCTAAATACATCACACTTGAAGTGGCACAGAGGTCTTTGGGAAGTGCCTGGGTGGGCAGGGACGTTGAGGAAGGGGCGGGGGGCCTCTGGCTGGATGCCTAACAATACCCTCCAAGGGAGGTTTGGCCGATCTAAAGACAACAATGGACCTTTCAGGTCGAAAAGTGGGGATGTAGGTTAATAAAACAGTGCTAGAAATGTTTGTCTCTGCATACATATAAATTATATACTTTCATCTTACATCTTAGGGGCTCTTGTTGGGCATCACCCGTGCCTTGTGGCTGGGGCATGTGCGTATAGGTGGGCACACAGGGAGGGCAGCCACCTGTGGGCTTTCTTGGGTAGGAATATGTGTGCATGTGTATGTGCATGGCAGGGTAAGGATTCTAATGGGGGGGGGGGAATGTAGATTTCTCTAAGAATATCTGATTAACCCTGAGCTTAAATGAAAGGAGTTAGGTCGAGGCAGGCAAGGTGGAAGAAGTCGACGAAGTCCTTTGGTGAGTGGGGGATGGGATGACGGAGGGTGGAGGGGAAGAATACTGTCTGGAGTTTGGCCAGGGTTCTGCTGGAGCATACCCTCCATCTCAGCCAGGGTCCACAAGGATGAGTACCTGGCTCTGGTCACAGCTTCAGCTTGAGGTGGCCGCTATGAGCCTGCGTGGCTCCTGCGCAGGGCAGGCAGGGATAGGCCACAGGAGAGGGGCTAGGTAATTCCTGGTGATAGTTCTTGTACAGAGGTGGTCCAGGGTCCAGGGGGGCCCCTGGGCCTAGCCTAGGCAACAATTGGTTCACAAAGAAATGTCAGGGAGACGCCAGCATTAAAAAAGAGAGATGTGTTTATTCCATGATCAGTACAGACCAAATGCATATTTCACTGTATGAAAGTCAAACCAGTCAGTGACTCCAGGGTTTGGCCAACACTGAGGCACCAGCGTCGTGGTGTAGAGTGGGTTCTCATGGCACACGTAACCTCACCAAGGGCTCCAATTATAAAATTAAAAAAAAAAAAAAAAAAAAAAAAAAAAAAAAAAAAAAAGCACGGGCAGGAGCGAGCGGCCACTGGTCGGGGCTGGGCGCCAGGTGAGGGAATCTGCCTCAGTCTGTGGCACCCCTAGGGCCTGGCGCCCACCTTGTCCCTTGGCCCTTCCTTTCTCAGTTTAAAAACAAAACAAAACAACAAAAAAACCCCTCAAAACAGATCTGACATTAAAAAACAAGCCAACAAATGGGGTTGGGTGGGAGGAGGGGGAAGGAAAAGAAATTGCAGCTTTCTGGTTTTATAATTAAAAATAGACGAAGTTTGAAACTCAGTAAAATATAGGCAGGATTTTTTTGTGTTTTGTCTTTTTTGTGGATTTTTTTGAGTTTTTCTTTTTTTACACCAGTTTGGTGGAGTCACTAACAAACTTCAAACAAAGATATGCCAACTATGTTCACTATACAGTACAGCCACGGTCACACACTACCCACAGCGCGGTGGCAGCCGCCGCTCAATGAGGAGACGATCACACCATTTCAGAGATAAGCAGTGCCATTGTGTCTGGAGAAGAGATAATTAAAAATAAAATAGAATTCAACAAAAAATATATATAGGAAAAAACAAAACAAAACAAAACCAGAAACACAGGTGGGAAGGAACTGACTTTGGTTGGTGGCCTCACTCCCCGGGCAAGGCCTGCCCACATGGGACAGCCGCCTCACTCCGGATGCCATGGACACACACACCTCCACGGCACTATTCCCTTTTGCACAAGCACACACTTACAGAGAGCGGCTCTCGATTAAAGGCTTGTGGGGGAGGGTTGGGGGGGTCTGTTCAAGGCAAAGTCAGTGCCAGCGAGGGGGTGGGCTGGCCTCACCCACCTCCAGCCCACTCGGGCCTGCCCTGGCCTCCTGGGAGCGGGCGGCGATGGCTGGGGTGTGGGGAAGGACTCCTGGCAGGCAGGATGTCACGAATGTCACGTTCTTGGGGACAGAAAACCAGTCACGGTGGCGACAGCAACGATGTCCTGTGTATACTGTGTAGACATCTGGCGGAGAGAGGGCCTCTGCCCCGCATGTGGGGATGCAGGGCTTGGGTCCAGCCGGCACTCGCTCATAACGAGGCGTGCGCTGAGCGGACGTCCTGTGCGGGGTGAGTGGCAGAACGTCTGTCCGGCTGTCCGTAAGGCAGACAGGCTCTGTGATCCTTAGCTGCCCGTCAGGCCAGCCCCGGGCATAGCATGCAGGAGGGCCAGGCCCGGAGGCGTCCCCTGGCCGCTGCCCCTACCTCCACCGCCGCCCCTAACACTATGGAAAGTCAATGTTTTGCCAGAAAATCAAAGTCAGAAGCCACCTAGGTGCGCTCAGAAAAGATTTTCTTCAAATATTGACAATAGATCACTCTGGAAATTCATGTCAATGGTAGCTGCCATCTGGAGGAGAAAGGAAGGAGTCAGGAAGATAACCTAGCCACCCCGAAGTTCCAAGCCCTCCCCAGGGCTGACCCCTCACAGCACCACCCCTATACAGCACTCAGGCCCTACACCTGAGCCCAGAGGACTGCATGCCGACCAGCAGGGCCTGGGCTTCCCCACTGCCCCTCCCTGTCCAGGCTCTAGTCCCCACTTCCCAGCTTCCCCAGGGGCTAACCCTTACACAGGGCTAACCCACCCCACCAGGCCCCCAAACTCACGGCTTCCCGGCGTCTTCGCTCCTGCTCCCGCTTCCGAGCCAACTCCCTCTGCTGGTCCAGCATGGACTGGGGCTGGGAGCTCTGGGCCTGGGGGGTGGCAGCAGCTGCCACTGCGGCTGCCTGTTGTTGTTGCTGCTGCTGCTGCTGCTGCTGCTGCTCCTGGCGCTGCTGCTGTTGCTGCTGCTGCTCCTGGCGCCGGCGTGCCTCCTCATGGGCCCGCCGGGCCTGCTCCAGCGCATCCTCGTCCTCTCGGCTCCTGGGCAGAGGGTCCTGGTCAGCCTGGGGACCTGTGTGGCCCCAGAAGTCCCCATACCCTGCCCAGAGCCTTCCCCCACCTCATGCGCTCCTGCCGCAGCCGTTCCTTCTCCTTCTCAGCGTGCTCAGCCTGAGCCTTCAGGGCCTTCTCACGCTCCTCCTTCTCCCGAGCAGCGCGGCGGAACTGCTCGAAGCTGTCGCTGGATGACTTGGCGGTAGAGGAGGGGGTGGTCGGATGCTTCTGCACTAGGCTGGCCCAGGAGCCCATGTTCTTGATTTTTAGGTCCTGCAGAACCGAGAGATTGGGGTGGGTGAGGGGCCTGCTGTGTCCAAAGGGCATAGCAGGGGACATGCCCAGCATAGCACCCTCCAGGGTCAAGGGGCAAATGGCACCCATGGGCCTCCCTTCCCGACCTTTTTGGGGGCAACCGGAGTCTTCGGCTCCTGTTTCTGTTTGTCCTTGTCAGGGGCCCCTGGTGGTGGTGCGTTCTGCTCAGGGGGCCGGATTACAGGCCTCCCGACATCCACAGGCTTCATCTCCGGCCCTGGAACATAAACACAGCCGGTAGGCCCAGGCCCACATCACCCCGGCGGGGCACGGTCCACCAGCCCCACAGCGAGGTCACGTCCAACATGGGCCTGGGGGCCGGAGCCCTGGCTGTGGGCGGGGAGGGCACTCACGCTGGGGCAGGTGGACGGGGGCCTTGATGCTCTCCGGATGCTTGGGGGGCTCCGGCCGCAGCGAGGGGCTGAAGGGCTCGCTGCGGATGATGGGTGAGTGGATCTTCTCCTCCTTCACCACCACCAGGGGCTGGGGCTGGACCACGGAGGCCGCACGCAGCTCCTGGGATGGCACAGGCACAGCGGCCGGTGAGGTGGGCAGGCGCCCCTGGCCCCGGCCCACGCCTGGCTCTGGGGGCTGTGGCCCAGCCCTGCCCGTTACCTGCTTCTTAGGCTGGACGTTTTGCTGGGGTGGAGACTGGTGGGTCAGGCTCTGGAACTGTGACATCTGGGGGGAATGTATCATAAGCGGGGAGGGGGCTTCACGGAGATGACCTAGGAGAGGGAACAAGAAATGTGTTATGGGGCTGGCTTAGAGCTGCTGCCCCTGGGCCACTTGAGCCTTGAGAGAATTGTCAGCAAGGAAAAGATGGGCTGAATGAAGAACCTGCATGTGGCTGCCCAGGCCCAGGGGCAAGGGTCCATCAGCCCAGCTCCAAAAGAGTGAAGACCCACACAAGTGACTGGGACTGGTGAGGACATGACCCCTCCCCCAAAAAGCTGAGTGCCCCGTGTCCCCCTGCACATGGGACCTAAGTCATATCCTTAAACTCAGTGCACAGCAGGGCTTTCTGAAGCCCTGTGGCACCAGGCCTGGTGTTTAAACCTCCTGTGTGCATCGAACCACCCGGGACTCTGGAAAACTCAGATCCTGACACATGTGGGCTTAGCAGGACCTGGGCCCTAATACTTTTTAACCCCACAGAGTTCAGCCTGGGTTCCCGCCAACTAGCCTGGCCCACCTGTATGATTACAGGAGATGAAGAACCCAGTCTTGGGGGTGACGAACCTCAGGACCCTCCCCATGGTCCTATTCCCCACTCAGCCTGCATGTCCCACAGAAGGGGCAAGCTTGGAACTGGCCTCTAACTAGGCCAAGTGGGGAGCAGGCAAAACAGGGCCTGGAGCTGTCTCTTTTAGGAAATGGGCCAGCCTGCCACCTGCATCCAACCCAAGGCTGGGAGGGATCCAGCAGACACAGGGACTACTGGGCCCTGAATCACAGTGAGCCAGCACCTCAGGACTGCGAGCTGGAGGAGCCAAGTCCTGCCCATTCAACACGTGGCCTCCCACTGCTGGAATCCCTGCAGGCCAGGGGCCTCACCGCCCCTTGACCAGCTCTAACTTAGGACAAGCTACACTGTCCACAGAGAAAGGTTGCCTCTCTGCAAAGCTTCTGCTCCCAGCCTGGCCTCACACCCATCTCCTTCCACTGTCTGCCAGCACAGATACCCTTGTGATTTCCATGAGCCCCGCTGGCTGGAGGCACCTATTTTCATAGGCTTGGAGCAGACCACAATGCCCCAGGTGTGGTGGACCCTCCATAGCCTCTCTAGAGCCAGGACCCACTTCTAACGCCAGAAGACATCTTGGAGCCTGCTGGAGCCCACATGGTGTCCAGGCCCACCCTGTCCTTGTGGCCCTCTGCTCTGTGTGGCTGGTTTTGTTGGCCTTGATGTCTCCTCCAATTCCAGCACAACAGAACCACTCTGGGCACTGCCATCCCCATGCACTGCTGGAGGGCCCCAGGCCCAGCCTGCCAGGGATCCACAGATATACAACTGCAGCAGCTTCCCACCCATCTAGGGAAGTGCCTTCAGTAGCACCTGTTGAGGCTGATCTGGGCAACAGTAGGCTATGGAAGCTGTGGTTTATAGAAACCACCTGCCTGCTGGTGGGTTCAGAGGGTGGCTCAGGGATGGCTCCTGAAAACTGGCTGTGGGCCGAGGGATGCCTATTAAGTCTCTTTGGGAGTCTAACAACTTGACTTTTGGCCCGAAGGCCCCAGCAGGATCCCAACCCACACTGCTCTTGATGCTCCATCCTAGCCTGCTGGGGCTTGTGTCGAGGCCAGGGCCTAAAGTAGAGCTGGCTGGAGGAGACCTGTCTCAGTCCCTGTAGGTGCATGGTGCACCCTAAGCCTGGCTCTTCTAAATGCCTTGTGTCCCCTGTCTATCACCCCCAACAGGAGACTGGCCCTGCTTTGTGTGAGAGCAGGCACAGCCAGCAGGCCCAACACCAGTGTTTCCCAGGGAGGACAGACAGCTGTTCTTGGCTCAGGGCATGCAGCAATCCACTTGGCACCCAGGAGCTTTTTTTTTTTTTTTTTTTTTTGAGACTGAGTCTCATTCTGTCACCCAGGCTGGAGTGCAGTGGCACGATCTCGGCTCACTGCAACCTCTGATGCCCAGGTTCAAGCGATTCTCCTACCTCAGCCTCCCAAGTAGCTGGGGCTACAGGTGCCTGCCACCGCACCCGGCTAATTTTTGTATTTTCAGTAGAGACAGGGTTCCACCATCTTGGTCAGGCTGGTCATGAACTCCTGACTTCGTAACCCACCCGCCTCGGCCTCCCAAAGTACTGGGATTTTGGGCATGAGCCACCATGCCTGGCCTGCACCCATCAGCACCTGGTACACCCAAGACAGATGGCACACCTACATTGCTGAGGCCAGGACACTCCACCCTGACCCTGCGGCACCACATCAGGAGGCGCTGACCAGAACGTTCCCCTGCCGGAGCCAGCCAGGACATTTTGGCTACTGACATTTAAACAAGTGCCCAGGAAAGGCAAGAGGGTGTGGCTTGACCAATGCTGTTGATGAGAAAAGGGTGGCCTGGGCTGGGCTGGAGGCTGGGAGCAGGCAATGAGGTCAGCTCCCAGGCAGGCTCTGAGCTTCCTTTGAGCTTCCAGCTCAGTGCTCCCCATCATGGTTCTGGCTCCCCCTGAACCTTATTCCTCACCCTGCTTTCTATGTTGGCTGCTGCCTATCTGTAATCACCACCTCCTGGAAGCATACCCTAACCCCCAGAGGTGGATCAGGTGCCTTGCCTGGGCTCCTAGCTTCCCCACCTAGTGAGGAGTCGCCTAGCACTGTCGTGCTCCTGACTGTAAGAGAGTCAAGAGGGGCCTGCTTCTGGATCATCTTGGCTCACAAGCAAGACAGAAACCTGATAAACACACTGCAGGAAGCACCAATGACCCTTCCAGGTCTCCCTCCAACCAGCCAGAGCCTTTGAGGCTCAGCTCTGAACCCACTGCAGCCTGAAGCATGAGTTAACCCTTCCAGCTCCCTGAGGACAAAACTACAGGCCCAGCATCAGCCTCCCTAGAGACCACGGGTGCGGGCTACTTACCAGTTGAATAGGGGTCCGACTTGTGGTGCCGAGGCGAGTGGTGGTGCTGCTGGATGACTTGCTGAGGCTTGGCAGGCTGCGGCGGGGGCGGCTGCTGGCCCGGTGGAGGGTGGGGGGGCTGCTGGCCCTGGGGTGGGGGGGGCTGTTGGATGTGGGTGGAGAACTGCATGGGCTGCAAGTGCACGGGCCGTGGAGGGGGCTGATGCTGCTGTTGGGGTGGGGGCTGGGGCTGGGGTGGGGGTGGTGGTGGTGGCTGCTGCTGTAGCTGCTGCTGCACAGAGGGGTGGGGTGGGGGCGGCAGGGGGGCTGGGGGCTGGGACTGCACCTTCACGGAAGGGAGTAGTGGCGTAGGGGGCTGCACCTTCTGCAGCTGCTGCAGGTACAGCTGCATCTGCATGGAGGTGAGGGGTGGGGCAGGTGGCTCTTCATCCTCCAGCAGCACTTGGGGGGGCTGGGGCATAGGGGGCTGTGGAAGCAGAGGTGGTTGGGTCAAGGCTGGTGACACGGCTGGAGGCCGGGCGGGCTTGGGAGGCAGGGCAGCAGCTCGGTTGCTGGGCCGTGATGGCTGCTGGGGCAGTGCGTTGTGTAAAGCTGGAAGGACACAAAACCAAGGCAGTGAGGCCTGAGCACCTATGGCCCTAGCCTGGCCTTTCTGCTCCATCCTGACCTCATCTGGACTCCAGTGGCCTCCTACTGGCCTCCCTCCAACTGGCGCTCCCTCCCCAACGACTGTGGCCTCCCACAAACTCCAGAACAGAAGCAGCTTTCAGAGAGGGCTCTAGGGCAGTGTCGTCCTGCCCTATGCTCTGTGCCCCAGCTCCTGCTCCCCATGCTCACAATGGCCCTTCAGGCCTCAGTGCAGAGCTCCATCACTCACTTGCCCAGCTATTCCCCAGGTGCATGCTGTCCAGGCTCCATGGGAGGAATCCCATCAGCATGAGTGCATGCCCCAACCCCTGATGAGAAAAGCTGACTCTGCAGCTTTTCTCATCTAACAGACACCTGGCCCAGCAGGAGAACCGAGTCAAAATCTTCTAGATTGTTATGCAAATAATCTCAATGTTTAAAACAGTAACAAAAATCTTCTGAAGCAAAGTGTTAGTAACTCCACGCAGCACCTGTCTTGAGGCATCTCCTTTAACTTCCAAGATGGCCCTGAAAAGCTGTGGACCTGCCTGCTAGAGACCAGGGCAGCTGAGGCTAAGAGGCCGCCCGGCCACAGTGCTCAGGCGCCGCATGGGAGAACCTAGGTGGGAAAGGGTCTCAGCCCACACTAAGGCAGGCACAGCTCACCTGGAGGAGAGACCACTGCGTGCTGGTTGAGATGGGGTGGAGGGCTGTGCTCAGGCGGCTGGGGCAGGTGAGGGGGCAGCTCAGGCTGCGGCAGGTGCAGGATGGGCTGGGTGAAGTGGCCGATGGGGTCAAAGACGCTGCCTGGGAGCTGGGGCTCCAGGACAGGCACCTGGGCGGCGATAAAGGGTGGGGGCGAGGACTTCATTGCCGGGGCTGCCTGCTGCGGCATGGAGGGCGGGGGAGGTGGGGGTGGCGGCTGCTGTTGCTGCTGCGGAGGTGGAGGCGGTGGGGGCTGCTGGGGAGGCGGGGGCGGTTGCTGGGGCACAGGAGCCGGGGCCTGCTGCATCTGCTGGTGGTGGTGGTGATGGTGCTGCAGACAGAGACAGACAGGCTGACGTCAGCCAGGCAGAATCGGCCAAGGCCAGACCCAACGTCCCACCTAATGGAGGATGCCCCTGAGCCCATGTACCTTCTTCTGCTCCCTCCCGGGGTGCCCCTTCTTTTTTGACTTCGGAGCCATCTCTGCAGAGGAAAAGAGAAGGTAGTGAGGCTCTGGGGGAGATGATGAGTGAGCTGGCCTTGGATGGAGAAAGAGGAGAAAACAGGGCACGTTCAGGAGGACCGGTGACCAAGAGAGGGCAGCTGGGTTCGATGTGGGATGAGGTCATTAAAGGGAGGGAGAGACATGCGAGGCATCACCTACCCACTTGCCTGCTGCTTTTCCTAGCGGGGACCATGCCTGAAAAAGCCTCCCCTGCCAAGCTTCAGACCACCACGGCCACAAGGGAAGTTGAGACCTCCTTGCCCAATGCCTCCCACTACCCACAGGCCAGTCACTTACTATAGTAACAGAGTGCATGGCCTGGACCGCAATCTGATGTTTTCGAACAATCTATGATGGCTGCAATGATCACATTCATCTGACAGTTGAGAAAAGTGGGGCTCTGAGAAGGGAGGGGACTTATCTATGGTCACACAGCTAAAAAGCAGCTACTCAGGGACCTACAACTGCATGGCCGTTGAGGCCCACTCCTTTCCATCCTCCAGGGGAAGCAGAGAAGCTCGGCTGGGGCTGAGAGAGGCACAGGACGGTGAAGAACTTATCAGCAAGGGAGAACGCAGAGGGCCCAGTCCTGGGAGGAAAAAAAGGAGCAGGCTGGCCCCCTGGGAACGACCAGCAACTAAATGGGTAGACAGAACTCAGAAGTCCCTGCCTTGGGACAGAGTCACTATGCTGCAAACAGGAGGCAGCATGTGCCCTTGCTCCTGTGGGCCAACGGCTTGGCGCCACAGCGGGGTGGATAGGTTCAGGGTGTGTCTGCTCCTTAGAGGTGTACTCGAGAGCCAGCGCACCCACCTCTGTCCCCACCCCGAGATTTATACCAAGGACTTTTGCCAGCTGGACGTCCCCTCGCCAAACACGAATGGTGTACAAGCCCCAGATGAGGATGTGAGCCCTGGCCAGCACTCACAGGTTGGCAGGTCACAGTTGCCAGCCACTGAATGGGAGGCGGGGCCCATAGTATGGCGCTTTTTGGATTCCTGTCACTGAGAAGCACCTCGTGGCACTGCCTGGCTTCACCTGAGCTCCTTGCCAGGGTGCTGCCTCTTGCTGCTTGTGTTGGAGGACACATGCTTTGCCCAAACTGAGGGTCCTTCCACTTGGATCTGCTTCATGGAGGGCCACACTAAGCTTCTGTGAGGTGCGTAGCCCTCAGTGCAGCATGCCACCAAAAGGGATGGGGAAGGACCTCGTGCCCTGTTAAGAGCTCACCATTCCACGTGAGACAAGACACAGACACAGACCTCAGCAGCTACAGACACACGTCCTCGTACAAATGGCCAGGGGTTGCAACTGGGGACACCGGGGCCCCGCCTCAAGCCTTCGTATCGGGCTCGGGTCACGCTGGGTCAGAGTATGATCTCATGAGAGGGATACTGTTGTGGGTTGGACATGCCAAAAGGGACAGCTCGGGTCGATTTGCAGGGTCAGGGCAATGGGGCATCTGACTACTATGGTGCAGGGGGAGGAGCACTGGCTGCAGAGGGTGGCGGCCCCAGAACCAGGGGAACCCTGTACACTAGGGAAGCGGGAAGAAAAGGTCAGGGCTTCTCTCCCAGCACTAATGCCAGCACGAGGAGGTGATGGAGCCATGGTTTCTGGGGGCATGCCTTGGAGAGAATCTGGGGAAGGAAGGGCAAGTCAGGGGGAAGAAGAAGGGTCACCGTGTGAAGTCTGACTAGGAGAAGCCTCAGGGATGTGCCCAAACACAGAGCTGAGGGAGAAGGGTGTGTGGAGGGGAAGGACAGGCTGGGGCTTGCCTGCTGTCTTGTGGCCTTGGAAGGAACTTTCGTTTTTTCTGCTGTAAAAGAAGGATGGTCACTCTAATCCCTCACAGTCTTCCTGCAGGCTGTGAGCAGAAGCCCACAGGAGGAGATGTAGGGACAAAGTGCAGCAGGGCCTGTGGGGGTTCCCGGGGCATGTCAGCTGCCTTTGAAAGGCCACAGGAAGTATCCTGGGAACTTGTCTCCAGGGCCCTTTGCAAGTGCTGGGGCCCCCAGGCAGGGCAGGCCTAGAGAGTTGGGGAGGGAAGACGGGACACACACGGCAGACCCCAGGACCAGATGACTAAAGGGACTGCTGGTAGAGGTAGCGCCATCTGGCCCACGTGGTCTGAGCCTGTGTCAGTTACCAGTAAAAGACAAGACAGGGAGTGCACAGCTTCACAACACACCAGCCCCAAGACACCCCCACACAAAACTCTCTAGAAAGGGTTACATGAAGATGGCCTCAAGTACGGTGTGATCTTTATTCCATGACAATCTTCAACTCAACACAAATTTCAATCTTTACATAGGATGGTAATTGTACAAAGAAATAAAATGTTTTTGTAAAATCCGATTAAAACACTGATTCCACCCACCCCCCAGACCCACTCCAGTGAAGGAGACAGGATGGAGGGTAAGGTCAGGGCAGAGGAGAGGAGTCTCCGCCTGCACTGAGCAGCTACCTCCCGCCCCTCCTCAGGACCCACGGCCAGCTGGTGCGTCGAAGCCTGGCTGGCACTTCCTGCACAGGAGGCTGCCAACAAGGAGAAGTGAGTGGGCACTGTTCTCTCTGGCTCTGTTCCTGGGGCACCAAGCAAAGGTGACAGCTTGTCTAATGAGCTTTCAAGTTCAACGAGCCCTGAGCGCTCTCTGCCAGATGGAAGCCCCACAGGCAAGAAGGACAGGGACCCTGGAGGAGAGCTGTCCTGTGGCTATGGCCCATGTGCACATACACGAAAGTTGTGTGTGTGTGGGTGGGCGGGGGTGGGTGTGGGTGGTGGCAGCAGGGGCAGCACGCAGGCCCTACATTGGGAATCCAGGCTGCCAATTGGTCCAAGAAAGCAGAATCTTTCCAGAAAGACAATGCCAGCAGCTCCCCAACTGTCCTATGGGAATCTCTGGGCATGAAGGCTCTCCCGCCTGCTCCTGTCCCAGCCAGGCTGGGCTGCAATGGGAACACATCAGGCGCAGGCCAAAGGGCAGCTCAGAATAGTTGGTTTGGCAAACAGAGCTTGACTGGAAGTTGGATGCCCAGAGAGGATCAAGAGTAGTCCAGGAACTCCTGAGCATCAACGCAGGGCCCTGGGAGGCTCCAGTGAGGCCAAGGCTAGCCCCTGCTTCCACGGCAAACCTGGGGCAGTTGCAGCTGCTGAAGCCCAAGGAGCTGGGGAGAGCTGCGAGGGCTCCCAGGCGGGTGGGGAACCGGCACCCGAGGGCCTGCCCATGGCGACCAGCCCACTTCTAGTTCCAGAAGGCAGGCCTTTAAGAAGCACCCACAAACTACACTTTAAAAAAGGAGAAAAAATGAAAAGCCCCTGAAACGCAGATGCAGTTCCTTAAGGGACTTTTCACGTCAGGCAGTTTTCTGCTGAGATGCTAGATTTGTGACCAAAAAAGGGCCGGTATTTATTTTTAGAGTGAAAAAGCCTATTCAGTGCCTCTGGGAGGGCTTGGATTGATGTGGCCACTCTCGCCTGCCCCAACCCCAGGGACTGTCGTCATTCTAAGGGACTGAAGACCAGGAAAATGTTCACACTGCTAACACCAATCAGGTGTCCACAGGGCAGTCCTGGTCCACCAGCCCAGATCCGCCCCCTCTAAAGGAGGGAGGTGAGGTGGGGTGGCAGGGGGATAGTGGGCCCGGGGCCTATAACCAGTGCCTGCCTGGCAGGTCCTGCACACTGCAGCCTGGTTCCAGGAGGGACTTTCCCTATGTGACTTGAGAAGAGGGAGGCCAAAGAAACTGGGGAAATGCCCATCAGGCAACTTAAACTTTTGGAAATGCGCAGGAACAGTGGAGACAGAGGAGGAAAGACTCCAAAAGGCTGAAAGTCAGCTGTGGCTCAAGCCTCATAGGGTATCAGTGAGAAGCATGCTGTGGGAAGAGTCCCACTGAGCCTTCCAGGGTCTCCAGGCCTTGCCTCTAAAGCTCCCCACTCCTTATCTGGGACAGCTCTAGAGGTCAGAGTGTTCTTCCTCACACTGAACAAGAGCTCTCCTGGGCTAATGTCACTGCAAGGTTCAGGAGGGAAGCAATTACGGTTCAAAGTCCCAGAAAAAGAGGGATGGGACAAAGAGAGAAAACATACTTGGGGTCTGGCTTTGCACACAGAGCAGCACCACATGAACGCATGTGTGGGGGATTGTCATGACCCTCCAGGAGATGCCACCCACCCAGAAGACCCCAGATGACCAGGGAGGCTGGGCAGGATACCCAGGCAGTCTTTACACAGGGAGGCTTGGGCAGCTGGCCAGGCAGGCAGCCTTCCCGAAGGCGGGACTAGGCGTGTGCTGCTGGACATGACTAATCCACCCCGGGGGACAGGCCCAGGGCTCTGAGGAATTCCATAACTTGATGGAGTCCTGTCCCTTTCACGGAAGAAAATGGACTTAAGCTATAGCTTGCTGGGAAGGAATCTGGAACTGAAGACCGTTTTATTAAGAGTCCGTGTCCAATGATTAGGCAGGACCTACGTAGAGGGAGAGAGAAACCAGTGTGAGAGAAATGGTGTGGAATGTACCGTTTAAGTCACAAGAACAGAAGAACTGCAGACCGAGCCAGCCTCCTGCGCCCTGGTGGCTGATGGGCACAAGAACGGCACTGGAGACCAGAGCCCTGCCCCCTGCCTAGCTAATCTAGGATAGGGACAGACCCACCTCCCCCTTAGAAAGGCCACATAGGCAGTACGTGTGGATGCCCTGGAAATCACCCCAGCCTCCTAAGCTTCTACAGAGTGGGCTTGGCTCCCACTGACAAGCTCCACGTATGCCCCGAATAAGCACACACCGGCATTTCCTTTACTGTTCCTCAAGTGGCTTCTTTGGAACTTCAGTGGTGCTCCTGCCCTGTTCCCCCAGCCACGTATGGCAAGCCCACCAGGCCCCCTGCTGACTCTGAGCTCATCTTGCCTAGGGGCTGCGCACTGTCTAGTCTAGTCTCAGGGAGTCGATGTCAGCCCTTTCTCCTGGGTTCCCAAGAAAAGAGGCACCAGAGTGCAGAACCCCCAGTGGAGGAGAAGGAGCAAACTGCCTCATCTCTGCATTCCTCCAGATCGCCCAAACAAAAAGCTCAAACCCTAAAAAGCAAAACCTATTACATACACTGTTGAGGAGGAGGAAAAAAGAAAAAGAAACAGGCCAAGGAATAGAGTCTTGTCTTTTCTTTCCTTTTCCGGGACATCCAGCATGGCTCCCTGGACCAGGGAGGGGCGCTGGGCTTGTTCCCACCCACACAACGGAGCTGATGCCTCTGCTGGAGTCACAGATGCAACTGACGCACAACTCCCTGGCCCCTGAGTGCCGGCATGGGAAAAACCCGCCCACTGGCGGCCTCTCACTCAGGGCCACATTCCACAAGGCTCGCCCTCACCCGCCCGTGAAGCCCCGGAATCCCTCCAGCTGTAAATGCTGAGTGTGTGCGGGGGTGGGGTGGGTGTCACCTGGCTGTGCAGACAGATCAGCTACTGCCCCACCTTCAAGTCTTTTCATACTCTCCCACCTCCAGGGTCCTCACCCTTCCCCGAGGAAAGCGCTACACTCTGGAGCTGGCAAACGGCAGGCCTGGAGATGCGACTAAGTCCATCAGAGACTCTGGGGTTCAGGAAGCTGAGACTGGTTGTGTGGTAAGAACGCCCCATGGCCTCTGTCTGCACTTCCCAGCTCAATCTTTCCAAAACATCAAGCATTCCTTTTTTCCCTGGAGCTATTAAGAAACGCCCACAAGTTCCAATCCTGGGAAAAGGAAGCCAGGAGACTAAAATAGCTGGACTGTGTTCTTGCTCCAACTAGAAGACCAGACCAAAGCCCAGGAGAAGACCCTGTCCCAGCCCAGGTAGCTGAGGTTAAGGGAGTATTCCTAAGAGGGACATAAGCTGTGGGTCCACCTCTGCCCACGAAGATCTGTGCATGACACTTGGGAAGAGCCAGATATCAGCTATGTGACAAGTGAAAGCTAGAAGATTGCTAGGACATGCCCTGCCCCATGTGCTGGGCAGACTCAACCCCAGTACTGATGACAGCAAAGCCACAGTGCTGTCCACAGCCCACCTGGGACAGTGTCCTCCTCCAGCCTGCACTACCCAAGCCTGTAGATGCATTTGTACCCTACCCCTGCCTGTCTCAATACAGAACCCTCAAGCAGCTCCAGGCTTTAGCTGGAATCACAGCTCAATGAAAGACCACCACCCAAGCAATGTGGGGGTTCAGAGGAAGTGGTGGGGCTTGCCCACTGCACTGCATGCTGCCAGGGCAGAGGTGGGGAAATACATGGTGGCCTGGGACCCAGCTGGGAAAGCAGCACCCACCCCCGCCATCCTCTTCCTGCCTGTGTTCCGTGGCTCGGTGAACTGTAGCCTGGCCCCAGAGGACTGCCCCACGCCCGCATCGGTCCACAGCATCCTGGTCTATGGACAGCTGCCAGGAGGGGTATCTATGTATCGCACCCGCCAGCCTCAATCTAGTGCCTCCGTTCGGTTTCTTTTGGCGATTCATGTCTCAGGGCCTAACCCCATAGTAAGTGACAAAAATAGGCCCTTTCAGGAATTTCGGCTCTAATCCAAATGGAAACACAAGAACAAGGGGGGTACGGGGGCAAAACAATTAGGCCCCGGGAGACCAATGGGAAATACCTTCGATGTCCCCCCACCCTGCCCCACTCCCTCAAGGCAGAGCTGCCTATGACTGGCCACAGACATCAAGACTGCCCGGCTTCCTGGACCCAGGAGAGCAGCTGCTGCAGGACCTATGCCCCCTCTGCCCCCCGCCCACAGAGTATAGAGTCCTGTGTGGGACACGGCAGCAGAAGGCTGCGATCACTGGTGTCAGTTCCCGCTTTGGGATCTGCCACACAAAACCCTTGCAGCAGCCCCTCCTGAGAGCAGAAGAACCCTGCCAGCCCATGACAGAGCTAACTCAGTGCACACAGAAGGCAAAGGAAAGCCCCTGCTGGCCAGGACTGCCAAGACAAAAGGGAGCCAGGCAAAACCCAAGGTGGGGAGGGCGCCTGCGAGGGGGAAGGCCAGAGCCCAGGCAGCTGCGCAAGCGGCCAGGGCTGGACCGCCAGAGCCTGGGAGCCTGGGAGCCAGAGACTCTGAGACTGTAAATCTCGCCCTCCTTCCCGCCAGGACAGCTGTTCCCAGGACTCTCAGATTACTTCTTGCACAATCTTTCCACTTTTTTTTGAAAGTGGGGGAGTAAAAAAATAATAATCTCAGCAGTGGCAGGAGGGGTGTGGGGCACTCTCAGTAAGCCAGAAGCGCTCCCAACTCCTCTCCCAAAGCAGAGGAGTCCAGAAGAGGGTGCAGAGGCCAAGGGCAAAGCCCACGATCACAGACTGGAAATCAGGATGTGATATCTACAGCCCCCTAAAGTATCTTGTCTTATGAGGGCTAAAGCAGCAACCCCACCATGGCTACGCCACATCATTTTAGTAATCAGGTCCTGCCAATTTCAGCATCTGGGGTTTTCACTTGGTCACTCAGATCCTTAGATGAAAAGGCAACAAAACCCCTGGTGGCAGCAGTCTGCTAGAAAAGAGGAGGTGCAAAAACCCAGGAGGCTCGGCTGGCACCAAAAGTGAAAAGTCAGCAGCCACCAGGAATGCTAATTGGATCCAAGAATACAGCCATTCACCCCACTCACCCCGCTGCGAGTGGAGGTCCTAGCATGGGGTGGCAGAGCCAGCCCTTTCTGAGCAGCCACAGGGTGCAGCGTCTCCTGCTGGCTGATGGATTACAAAAGCAGTGTGGGGAGAGTGCCGGTTAGAGATCAAAGCGTAGAAGATGGCGACTGCGAAGGCCAGGAGGTTGGCGAGCTGCCCAGGGCATTCTCCACACAGTTGTGCTAGAAAATGTGGGCACGTGGAGTCCTGGAGGGTCCTTCAGCCCACTTCAGGGCAAGTTTCCTCACTCATTGGGAAGCAGAGGGCACCAGGGGAAGAATACTGACAGGGACCGAGGTGCCACCTGCCCCTGCCCTATCTGTGTGCACACACCTCAGAGCAACATGGCTCTCCCCAGCTGCTATGAAGGATCCCCAATCTCCCTTGGGACGATCAAGTTATTTACATGCACGGATTACTAAGAGTTAGCATTTATTTCTAGGTAGCATAAAATTCCAGGGGTAGCACAAGTCTATGGGAGAACATACAGGAGTCTACTGCCAAAACACAGGTTCCCACTGTGGATCCCCACTCCTCAGCCTGCCTGAGACCCTAGGGCCAGCTCCCAGGTGGTCTGCAGCACGCTGGCTCATTGATGCAGCTGCATCAGCCTAGCGGCAACCCCATCGGCCCTAGACACAGAATGTTAGCACTGTCTCTCAGGAGGAGCTGGTCACCAGGCCTCCTGGGCACCATGGCTTCCTCCTCCCTATTCTCTCCTCTGGGCCAGCCTGAGCATCTATAGCCTTGAAAATAATGGTGAAAACACACACTTGGAGGACAGCAGCCCCCTCCCCACCCCCGTCAACACCCAGCATTGCTATCCACCTCTACCTCCCACTGAGGCTGCTGCTCCGAAGGTGGGCTCTAATGGAGAACCCAGGGACAGATGTGCAGGCCAATGGAGCATGAAAAGAAGGGACTGTTAGTTAGAACTGCAGGTGGGACACGCAGGTCCACGTGTGTATGGAGTCAGGGCAGATTCAGTAGCAGCCAACGCAGCAACGAGCACACTCTGGGGAGGAGCAGGCAATGGCTGGGGCCCAGGTGATGGCAGGGCCAGCTGCAGTCTGCTCCACATCCACCAGAAACCAGTGAAGCATCTCCCTGAAGCAGCCACACTGCATGTGACTCGGATATGAGGAATGCCCTGGGGACATGGGAGTCTCCTCTGGGGCAGAAAGCTGACTGCGGTCACATCAAGGTCCACAGCATTGCCTGGGCCCCTATGCCCACAGTCCTCACAACCCAGCCTCCCCACCTGCCACCCAGAGCTCCGCAGTGTCAACGCCCTTGGCCATTCGTCCTCCATGCCCAGCCCCTGGCAGGGACAGCATGAGAACCACGCCAAGAGAATGGACACTGCTGCACAGAGTACAGGGCTATCCCCGGCCCCAGGGAGACAGTTAACACAGACACCAGCAGACAGAGTACCTAGCAAGTTCTAGGAATGCTGTCCCTAGGCTCTAGCATCCTGGACACATGACTGAGCTGCTATCGGGCACAGGTGGGAGGAGTTTGATAAGACAGGTAAGACACAAGTCACCTAACCTGTTTCGGAGTCTTCGCTGTCAGAGGAGCTGGACTCACTGGAGCTCTCCGACTCTGAGGACGAGAAGCCCTTCATCTTGGAGGAGCCGGCAATCACATCAACTTTCTCAGCTGCAACCCAAGCAATGGGAGCTGGTTAGGCAGGGCCCTGGCCCAGGAGGCTGCTCTTAGCCACAGGCACACCCCATCCATCTAGAGGAAGAACCAGCAAGGAGCCTGAGCACTGTGGGCCCAGGGGCTGCTCGTAACTGCCAGATGCCACTCCCAGAACCCACATGGACCCACAGTTCCCATGGGTAGACTCCTCACATTGGAATTACAAGGTTCCTTCTATCTCTCAAAGTCCCCTTTGGAGGGTTTATCAAGAATTCAAGAGACCAAGCAGAGGGATAATTTCCTAACACAAGGTACCGCTGAGCATGAGGCTTGGATTCTCTCACTTTTCTGGTAGAGGAAAAAGAGGACCCAAAAGGAACATGCTGCCCAGAGGTAATGCAAGGCAGGAAGAGGCCTGGGGGTCTCCCAGCACAGCTGTTCAGATGCACGCTGGAAATCATCATGTGGTGTGCCCCAGGGAAGGGCCCAAGACCCCAAAGAGCCAGTACGGGCTCAGGACAAAGACTGTGTGCAATGCCGTAACACCAATCCTAACTCCTACGGTCCTCAGAGGTAAGTTGTGTGCCAAAATGAGCTGTGACACAAAAGAGCTGCTTGGAAGAGTCCAGAGAAAACGCCACACTAAACTGTCCCTCCTACAAGGACAAAGGCTGGCTCAGTGCTGCATTAATGCCATCAGTACGCAGGTCCTGGGACCCTGCAGACCCGCCTTTCCTCTTTCCCCCAAGAGGCCAGAGGAAGACAGCAGCAGGCAGTCGAAATTTAAAGCAGCTGTGGCTTAGAACACAGCTTCAGCTATGGCTTAGAACAAGATGCAGAGGGGCCCTAGACACATCCAGCCAGAGATCTAGAAAGACACTGACAGCAGCCTATGGGCGAGTATGATGTCACAACCTTCCAGGTTTCTGTGTCAAGAACAGAAATGGTTATAACTGGAAAAAATGCACACAGAGAGAACGGACTGAGTAAGGAAGGAAAAGTGACACTTGGGGTCGACAGAAGAACCCCCATCCCCAAGAGGGCTCAAACACACCTTGAGGTTTCCTTTTCTTCCGCAAACAGGAGGTGACATAGCGCTCCAGCTCACGCAGTGTGGATGGCTTTAGGGTCTCAAAGTCGATCTCGATCTCGTCAGGGTTGGAGTTCTTCAGCGAGGGCTCCCGTGACTGGATGATGTGCACCACTCGGCCCAGCTTCTCTCCGGGGAGCTTGTTGATGTCCAGGCTGAGCTGCCGCTTCTCCTCATAGGACATAGGCTTGCATTTGTCCTCTTCCTCTGACTCGTATGTGGGAGGGGGCTTGCTCTTCATGGGCGCTGGCTCCTTCTTGCTATGAAGGGACGATGCAGACACCATCAAGAACGGGCCCCCTGAGGAAGCCAGGCACTCATTCCTCCACATGTATGTTGGGGAGAAGGGGTGCAGGGGGTGTCCTTCCCATACCCCTCACCTACTGGCCTTCACAGCAAACGAGGCATGGGCAACCCAATCTGTGGGAACACCCAGTGGAGACTGAAAACAAACTGTGGCTCGAGGCTGCCTGAGTTGGGGTAGTGTTACAGCCCTATCCTTGCTGCCTATCCTTCCCCGACCAAATGTGGTGAGCCCCAAAGGCTCACCCCACAGAAATGGGCAGAGGCAGTGCAGCTAAAGTCCTGCATGCAAGCAGCCACCAGCCCACCCTGGGGAGCCATGACTGCAGGGGCCCTTCTCACCCACTGAGGACAGGGAGGGGCAGGGGCCCACATGGTGTCTCAGGGGAGACGGTGGAAGGAGGATCCTCACCCAGGGCAAACTCAAGGGACACAGACCTCGCATTGCTGTTGCTGCTATTATTTTTCTTTGTCTTTTTGGGAGGAGGTTCCTTGGCTTTACTCTTTTTATTCTCTTCTACTTCCTCTTTCTTTTTGTGCTTTTCTTTTTTCTTTTCCTTCTTGTCCTTCTCCTTTTTCTTTGGTTTGTTCTGCTGGGGCTGAGAGAGGGCTGCAAGCTGCTCGTGCACGGCTTTGAGCTGTGGACCAGACAAGCAAGACACACACCCAGGGCTGAGATGGTCTTCCCGTCACCCAAGACCCAGATGTCTGCTCCAAAAAACATGACAGCATGCACCTGAAGCATCAGGGTGTGGGCGGGCACAGGGGAGGCAGAGGGAGAGATGGCCCCCAGCTGTGGGCCTGTCATGTTAACCAGATTCCTAACATGCCTATGCCCACCCATTCCCTCAACTCCAAAGACTGCCTGTGGCCTCCTCACCAGAGGAGCCCATCAAGCCAACAGACACTAAGTATCATGGCCATCCTGATCCCAGGAGAAGGTCCCTTAAGAGGCTAAATAAGAGCATACATGTCAGGCACAAAGGGCCTGATGACTGGCTGCAAGGAGAGTAGCAACCAGGTAGGGCTGGGAGAAATGAACATCCTGGCCCAACCTCCTCCTTCCCGACATTGACAGGATCAAGAAGCCTCCTCTCTGCCCAGAAAATGGCCATTTCCCTCCCCCTCCCCAACTGCAAGTTCAACACATACACCATACATACGTGTATGATCAACATGCACTTGACCTAGCAGAGAGGTAAAGGCCACAGGTGGTCCAGTGGGAATTCTGCTCCCTTGGGAACTCAGAGCCAAAAACATCTCTTAGAAACTTCTGGGGAGGCCACCCTGGTCCCTGGACTCTGGGGATTGGGAATCGTGCCACCAACACCCTCACCTGCTCCTGGAGCTCAGCCAGCCGCTGAGCTCGCTCCTCCTCAGAGTCATCAGTCGAACTGTCACTGTCTGAGGAGCTATCGCTGCTGCTGTCGCTGGAAGAGGGTGGGGCCACAACCTTGGTGGGAGGGGGCACTGCTGGGGATGACACAGCCACCACTGGCTCCTCAGGCTCATCTGGCATCTTGGCAAAGCGCATTTCGAACACGTCCTGGTAAGGAAAAGCCATGCCATGAGGGCTGCTGGGTACCCAGGCCACAACCTAGTGTTACCCTGGCCTCACTGGTTGCTGGGGCCAACTCAACAGTAAGCAATAGAGGACAAAAGAGGATGGTGGCCCTCTCTGTCTGCCACCAAGACAGGGGCAAGGGCCACCTGAGGGCCTCTGACAACTCTTCCAACACTCCTCTTTCAAAGCTCACTTTGAAGAGCAAGGTGGTCCAGATGTAGCTGGGCACTCACTGCCTGGGGGACACAGCCCAGATAAGGACATGTGACCCAGGCCACCAAGGCAGCCAGCCCACTGAAGTCTGGGGGTGCTTGACAGATGGCGCTGGGCCAAGGGTACCCACAGTCCCCAAAAGAGTTAGCTGAGGATCCCGCCAGATACACGGCTCACACACCAGCGGGGAGCAGGAGGAGTCTGTAGTTTGGGAGGGCGTTACAGGCAGAGGGCACAGCAGGTGCAGAGGCCCCGGGTAGGAGTGGGCCTGCCACAAGTGTACCTCCTCTAAGAGGCCAAGCTCTGCTGTAGCAGACACGGGTCTAAGACAGTCTCCTCACACTCCTCAGACCGGCCTTGGAGCACTTAACCAAGCAGGGCTGCACCACTGGTGGAGGCATTTCCAGGGCACACGGGACAAGGTAAGAGAGGTCCAGGCAGCAGGTGTGGGGCACTGAGGATAGGCTACGAGAGGGAGCCACTATGCGCAGGAGACCCTAATACCTTTCAACCCTAAGATCCAGCAATCAGATGGAACCACGTGGGGTCACTGAGCTCAAGGAAGCGCAGCCATGCATGAACACTGGGGTCTGGCCACACATACTGCCAACCAACTGGCAAATCTCTGCCCTACCCTGGGAGCACTGAGCGCAATCCAGTGATGGCTCAGGATAGAGGCAGAAGCACCGGGCTGGCTTCCCAGAAGGATTCTGGGAACTGCTTTAAACCAGGAATAAACTGATCAATGTGGAAAACACACCATGGCAAAGACTTTTCCCTAAATGTGTGTCAATGCTTCAGGGAGCATCACGGCTCTGGAATTCCTTCCTGATGGCTCAGGAAACACACCTTGAGGCTTCCTCTGAAGACTGCTAGAGCAGGCATCCCATATAACTGTGGTGTGGATTCCCTCCCCTCCAGGCCACCATCAGTAAGACTTCCTTTAGCCAATAACTTTTTCTTTTCTTTTTTTTTTTTTGACACAGAGTCTCACTGTCACCCAGGCTGCAGTGTAGTGGCGCAATCTCAGTTCAGGGTAACCTCTGCCTCCCAAGTAGCTGCAGTTATAGGGACACACCACTATGCCCAGCTAATTTTTGTATTTTTAACAGAGAGGGGTTCTACCATGTTAGGCTAGGCTGGTCTTGAACTCCTGACTTCAAGAGATCCCTCCCGTGGCCTCCCAAAGTGTTGGGATTACCAGCGCTGAGTCACCGCGTCCAACCCAACCCAATAACTTTCTTTTCTGTCTTTCTTCTACTTTTTTTATTCCCCCCTCAGGATGGACTGCAGTCAATGGCTCAATCATGGCTCACTACAGCCTCGTCCTCCTGAGCTCAAGAGATCTTTCTGCCTCAGCCTCCTGAGTAACTGAGACCACCATGCCCAGCTAAATGTTTGTACAGACAGGATTTTGCCATGTTGCCCAGGCTGGTCTCCAACTCCTGGGATAAAGGGATCCTCCCACCTTGGCCTCCAAAAAGTGCTAGGATTACAGCCATGAGCCACACCGTACCCAGCAAAGTAGTAACTCTTTGAGCAGTTCTGACACAAGGAGTAAGATACACAAGAAGGGATGACCAGAGACCACCACCAGTTAGCCTGACAGAAGAGGGGCCCAGGCAGGAAAAGGTAGGAGGCTTCACATCAGAGTGGAGGCCCCAGTTAAGAGAGTAACACAGACCTCTAGCCCTGCAGCACCTGGCCATGTACCAAGTGAACAGTGCCCTGGATGTGGGTGGGCTCAGGTCCCAAAATGACTCCAAAGGACATCTGGGGCCACATGAGCTTCTAGAAGAGTAGGCCTGCTGCCAAGCAGCAGCAAGCAGGTTAGAGGAGAAGTAGGCCTCAGAAATGCCAGGATATCATGGAGGGAGATGATCAGCTCTCCTTCCCAAGACAGAAGAGGGAGTACCCTCTACTGAGTGGTAGCTGCTTCAGCAAACTGATCTGAGCCTCGGCCAGCTTCAAGACATGAGGACATCCTCATTCCTCCCTGTCAGGTGATGACTGTTGTGTAAATGGTGGAGTGGAGGTGTGTGGTGTTCACTCTGAGGCCTCCTTCCATTCCCTGGGTGCTCATGGCCCTGGCTCTCCAAAGGCCGCAAGAACAAAGAGCAAAGAATACAAGACATGAAGCCGGCTGGGATGAGAAACTAACATCGGTGGGGCTGGTAATTGCCGGCTGCTTGGCATGTCCAGTTGCATGACCCTGTCATCCTTCTCTGTCTCTTGGATGTGATAACTCTGTTCTAGACTGAGTGGGGGCCATCCTGGGAAACCTACGAGTCACTGGGCCCAGGTCTGCTGTAGGAAAACCTTGCTGTGTGGCTGCAACAGTCACACGATCCCAAGTACCAGCCTGATGATAAACAGGAACGAGCTCCCTGTTCAAGGAGCTCATAGTCTAGTGGGAAACAGAAAGGCAAATGAATGGGCAAGGGGTCACTATGAACTGGAAGTGTGCTGAGACCTGAGGGTGAAAGAACACAGTTGAGGGTGCTGTGAGGCCAGCAAGAGGACAGTAGCAGAAGACTCAAGATGCACTGAGGGCAACTATCTCACAAGGGAGGCTGTGATGGTGGGTAGCAGTAGACACTAGTAGTCACAAAGGAACACGGGGTGCAGGCATTCTGCTGTTGGCTCGACAGTGTCTTGAGACCCAGGTGAGGCCCAGCCCGGTACCCGGCATCCCAGAACCTCCACCCCACTCCTCTAGAGATCTAAGTCATGAGGTCATGGTTCTCAGCTTCAGCACAGTCCACTAGTGTCAGACAAGTACCTTGGCTGTCGGGCTGTGGAAAGTAGGTTTTCTCAAGGACCCCAGAATTTAGAGCCTGAGAGAGAAAAATGAAGTGGGTCCTTTTCCAAGTAACTTTCAGGGGCCCAGCCAAATTAAGAGACCCAACTAAGCAGGTCCCAACAGCTCCTGAAGAGGTGAGCAAAGGCTGGCTGGCGCTTTGTCCCTCCCCTTCCCTGATGGGGAATTTGCTAAACTCCGTGCTGATGCAGACAACTTAGAAATAAGAAAAACAAAGGCTGAAATGCCACAGACACAAATGCCCACTAGAAGAAAAGCCTGCCCTGAAACCCCTCCATATCAATTCTGTTGTTGAAGCAGAAACACCTCTACCAAGTGCTGGCACAGAGAGGTGCCGCTCCCAAGGACAGGCAAAGCAGGCTGGGGCAGAGAAGTCCACCCGCAGCACCCCCTATCCCTTGCCTGAACTGGCCCCACCCCTTGAGAGCAAGGCCTGTGTCCACTGCAGTCCAGCACCTGGAATCCGTTATGTAGGAAGAAACTCTTCTGCTGCAGAGTCTCTGGTGTGGCAGACATCCTAGTGGCCTTGCTATTGGTAAACTCCACGTTCAGGCAGGCTCATTCCCCTCCCAGAAGGAGAAAAATGCAAAAAACACTTGAAACTCCCAAATCTTTGTTGGAGAAAACTGTGAAAAGGAGGTGGCTCCATGAGGTCAGGAGAGGAAAAGGAAAAAGGGACAAAAATGAGGAAGGAAGAGTTAAACACATCAGAGGGTGCTTTCTCTTTGTAAAGTAGCTCAAAAAAGTCACCTTTGGTACTGAGAGAGAATATGTTTCTGATGAGCTGTTCCTATGAAGGTAGATGAAGGGCATGAATATCAATGTGAGCAGAGTGGGCAAGAGCTGTGCACTTGTCTTCTCAAGAGAGCGCGATGGAGGAGCTGAAGGCACAAATCTGAGGGCACCACTGCCACTGGGTGGCTCTGAACAAAAACTGCATAGAAATTAAAAAGCCCAAACTCCTTCAAGGATGGGAAATACAAACATGAATGATGAAGGGGCAATGTTGCTTGTGAAGAATGCACACAGACAACAGCAAAGGGAAGAGAGGGCAACAACCCCCCAAGCCCCAAGTCACAGAAAATAAAAACTAAGAAACAGGTCAGGTGCCGTGGCTAATGCCTGAAATCCTGATAGTTTGGGAGGCTGAGGTGGATGGATCACCTAAGCCCAGGAGTTTCAGACCAGCCTGGACAACATAGTGAGACACCATCTCTACCAAAAAAATACAAAAATTAGCCAGGCATGGGGGCACATGCTATCCTAACTACTTGGGAGGCTCAACTGAGCACAGTAGGTTGAGGCTGCAGTAAGCAGAATGAGAACCTGTTTCCAAAAAATAAAAACAAAAACAGTAGAAATAAAAAGCTCCAAGCCTTAGCATGCATTTAAATAACAAGAGCCACGTCCACACTAGTAAGAAAGAGCCCAACAAACCTCACAAGGGAAGTGTTTATCCTACACTTCAAGAGTTTGAGGGATGTCCTCTGAGCCAAAGGCCGCCCCTGATCCACAGTGAACAGGAGAGATAATGCCTTAGGTCTGGTGGGAGTAGGTAGGGTATGCCATTGTGGGGAGTCTGGGACAATGTGGCGAACTGGCGCAGCTGAGAGGCAAGCAGGCAGTGGGGGCTCTGGTGACCTCTGCCTGGCACAGATCATCAAAGTTTTTCCAAGTCCTTACTTCTGCCCGGGAAGCAGATGGTTGCGACAGCCAGGTGTGCAGAAGCCCGCTGAGGCCTACCATGAGCACATCAGCACCTCGTGATGGCAGGTGGCCCAGCCTACAGCCTGTCGGTCTGTAACTCCAGCACTTAGGGAGTCTAAGGCAGGTGGAACACTTGAGCCCAGGAGTTCCAGACCAGCCTGTGCAACATGGCAAAACCCCATCTCTTAAAAGAAAGGGAAAAAAAAAAAAAAAAAGGGGGGGGGGGGGCGGATAAATTAGCCAGGCATGGTGGTGCAAGCCTGTAGTCCCAGCTACTCAGGAGGCCGAGGCAGAGACCTGCTTAATCCAGGAGGCGGAGGTTGCAGCGAGCCAAGACAGCACCACTGCACTTCAGCTTGGGCGACAGAGCAAGACTCTGTTTCCCAAAAAAGCCAGGCTCAGTGGCTCACACCGGTAATCTCAGCACTTTGGGAGGCCGAGGTGCGCAGATCACCTGAGGTCGGAAGTTGGAGACCAGCCTGACCAACATGGTAAAATCCCTTCTGTACTGAAAATACAAAATTAGCCATGTATGGTGGTACACGCCAGTAATCCCAGCTACTCGGGAGGCTGAGGCGGAAGAATTGCTCAAACCCAGGAGGTAGAGGTAGCAGTGAGCCAAGATCAAGTCATTGCACTCCAGCCTGGGCAACGAGCGAAGCTCCATCTCGAACAAACAAACAAACAAAAAAACCCAGAAAAAAAAAATTAGAAAAGATGATAATGACCGTACTAAACCGTGACGTTATTCTCCAAAAACTTTAATCCAACCTTATTAACCAAAAAAAAGACATTGTTTAGACTTAGGTATTTTTTCCTTTTTTAAAAAAAAATTAGTAGAGTTAGTCTATATATCTATGCTATAATCTCCCCTCCCTGCCCACATGTGGACGTCACAGTGTGCACCACCCAGGCTCTCAACTTGAAGGAAGTGGCCCAGGACCCACCATGAGAATTGTGGCCATGTGGAAACAACTTCTCTGCAGCTAGAAGGCTCTCTTAAGGCTCTGGTGAAGAGATGTCCACAGTGCAGATGTCCTCAGCTCATGACTGTGACAGTGCCTACTTTGCAAGAATACCCCCCATGCCCAACCCACCTGAGACAGGTCTGTTATATAGAAGAGACTGGGCCATGCACAGCACACACCCGTTCTTCCAGCCAAAAGCAACTAGTGCTGGTGGAGGGTGGGGAGGGGGCTTGCAGTGGAACACCCACTTGCTTTAATTATAATCAAATAACCCCAAATTAAAAGGTATGTACTAGGCTGAGTTTAGCCACTTTTCTAAAGCAACATGGCATTATCGCAAGGAAAGTGACAGAGGCCCACAGAGGTCTACTCCCACGAGCACCTCAGCCCGCTCTGCTGAGGGTGGCTGGGTCCTCCCGAGCCTCACCTGGAGCTTGCGGGCCATAGCCACCACCTCATGGTCGGGAGGGTTGTATTTATAGCAGTTGGAGAACATCAATCGGACGTCAGCACCAAACTCCTGGGCATCACGGTACTCACGGGCCTCCAGTTTAGACTGGAAAACAAGACAGGTCCCTATTAGCTGTGCCTGTCATGTGACAGTGGAGAGGTGGCTGGCAGCAGACAAAAGGGGTGCCTACAGGAGCACGCTGGTTTCTCAGTGGCTCTCAAGTTTGTTCCAGGCTGTAGTGGGGAGACATGCCATCACCGCAATTCCTAACCTCAGGGCTGGGATCGGCCCTGCCAGTATCCCAACTCACCCACCTGGCTCAAAGGCAGCTAGGCTCAGAACCCACAAAAGGCAGAGTGTGAGCCAGAACTGAGGGGAAGAAATGATGGAGAGGGCTGGGCCCACCTCATCATCATGACACAGTATGGGAGCTGGTCAAAGGGACACAGCACTGTCCCCTGCTCTGCCTGCCCCATGTTTGGAACTCCACTTCTCCCAGAAGAAACACATAACAAGTCGTAAAACCAAAAAGGCCTCAAAACACTATGGTGACAATGTTAACCCTTACAGCGTGCCTCCCACACAGTGGAGACAGAAAGGTTCTCCCCAAAGAGCCTGGCGAGGCCACCAAGCCCCAAACTCTCATGAATCATCTATAGTGTGTGCAAGGCCAGAGGATTTGTCTTGCTTTTCCTCAAGACAGGAGAAGAGGCAGCACAGCAGCTGCCTACAGTCACAATGGCCAAGCACCGGGTCTTGGAGTGTGTCCCATAGCACCCAGCAGGGGGCGCTGAGTTTCTTTGGGTTTTGGGGAAAAGCCCATGCAGCCCTCGTTCCAGATATGGGACTCCTCTTGGACTGGAAGGTCTGGGGAGATTCTGATGTGGAGGGAGGGCCTGCCCACCTTGTCCCACTCCGCTAAGGCACATCCAGCTCACCTTGATTGTGCTCATGTCCATGGGGTGCTTGATGATGTCACAGTAGTCATGCAGGCCCAGCGCCTCCACGTCCACAGGCTTGTAGAAGGGCCAGGCATAGGCAGCATGCTTCTTAGCGAACATTTCCTTGAGGATGCCGCTGCAGCACTTGAGCTGCTCTGAGACCTTGCTGCTCTTCTCTGGTGCTGGGTGCTGCTGAGAGTCGGGCACGTCCTTCTTTGGAGGTTTCACAGGCCGGCTGCTCTCCCGCCTCGGGCCCAGTTTGGTGGTCTTAGGCTCCGGGGGTAGTGAGGGTGGCTCGTGAATGGGGTCAATGGTGGTAGGGGTGGTGGTGTCTGCTTTCCTCTTCACTCCCTTCTTTGTCTGCCAAGAACACAGGGGCCAACAGGCACAGTCAGAAACGGCAGCTGCCACAGCTACCCCTTGGGGTCACCCCCAAAGCCATGCCCCGTCTAGGGGCCCAACATTCACGTAGGATGGACCTAAAGATAACTGCATAGGCAAAGGGCCAAGGACAGGCAGACCCTGTCCCACCACTCTGCTCTGCAGCTGGGACAGGACCTGCCTGGGACAGGAGAAAGCATACAACCCAGTGCTCACTTGGAAGTCAAAGAACCTCTGGAGGCTGCTTCCTACCTAACACCAGGGCATCTACCAGCTGCCTAGGGGAGGCAGGATTCAGAGATTACTTAGATGGCACATCTGCAAATATGCACAGTCTAAATTAGAGAGGGGGCAAGGGATAGGAGTCCACTAGGAGGTGTGGGATCTTTGAGTCAGCGAGGCATCTGATTCTGGGCTGCAATTTCAACACAGCAAGATCTCCCCAGAAACACCCTCCAGTGCCTGGGACCCAGGACAGGCTCTGTGCAAAGCATAGGGAAGGACAGGGGCCACTCTCCTCCCTGGTGACAGTGGCCCTCCAAAGCCCAGGACACTCACCTTTACAGGCTGCGGGGTGGCCGCAATGATGGGCGGGTGGCTCTGTACAGGCTGGGGAGCTGGAGCAGGTGGGGGTTGTGGCTGAGGGGGCACCGGCGGGGGCGTCTGCAGTGGCTGGGGAGGCACCACCGTCATGACAGGGGTCTGGACGATGAGGTCTGGGGTGACAGCAGGGAAGGGGTGAGGCGTGGCCTGTACAGGAGGAGGATTTGGCTGAGGGGTCTGGGTCTGCGGAGGAGTTGATGCTTGAGTTGTGTTTGGTACCGTGGAAACACCAGGTTTTGCTGTCCCTACAAATCATAGTAAGACAGGGAGTTAGAGGCCATGCTGATATCCACGTGCTGACTTTGTAGGGATATACACAACACACAGTGAACGCAAATCTGTGTGTTGCGTTTATTTGCCTGAGAGACGAACATCCCAGACTCCACTTTGCCAAACCCGTCCACCTGTCCCTGGGCCTCTGAGAACAGTGGAAAACTGCACTTCCATTTCCTAAGGCGTCAGGGCTGCAACTCCCAACTCAGGCACAAAGACCCCTTCATGAAGCCTGGAGGCCCGGGCTCAAGGAGCAGGAAACACACACCGACTGTGGGCAGAGAGCGGGAAAACGCTTCTCCGAGCTTCCAGGCACAGCTGTCCTTGTTCCCAGAAGCGCTGCTTTCTGAGTAAGAGCTTTTGGCAGGGAGCCGGCAGTAGCCGCCCTCGCCAAGGTTTCTGGAAACTGGCAGGCCCCTACGTCCTGGAGCCACAAGGGACAGCTGGACTGTTGCCCTTCATGACTGGCTCAGGCACTGCCTCCTAGCAGCTGTGCCGGGACTCCGAACACACAATGGTCACACGGTCCACCCAACCAGCTCCAAAAAGTGAGGGGTTATGGCCAGAGCTCTAACAAGAGTGGGCAGACCGTGGGGCCAGTGTCTAGGAGCATAACCTGGGTCACCACACCCTTTGTATGCACATTGGCTACCATGAAAACAGACAGAGACACGCAGCGCTTTCATATGCAGGCTCAAGTGGCACCCATGTCCCAGGTGCATCTCAAGGAGCAAGGGTGAGACTGCTGAGTTTCCCAATTCTCCTTCCCCAGGCACAACTCCTGGGCTTCTCCCAGACTGGAACAGGAGGTGCCACCATGTCTGCCCAGCATTCAGCCCAAACCCCTGGTCGCAGGGAGCGAGGACCAATATCCTCATCTAAGGATCAGGGATGTGACCTGATATGTACAATAGCCACAGGGTGACATGTGAGACTAGTTCTCCCTGGTCACCCTTGGGTGCAGCAGGGGACATAGCAACCCTCTTTCTGCCACCACTTCAAAACAGAGTGGGAGACCAGGTGAAAGGCTGCTGTTCAGAGAAGCAAAAAACTCACACTCAGGGAACACCTTGCAAACGTCACCCTTCTGCAGCATGGAGCTGCAAAGGACATGATGTAGACAGCAGCTGGTGGAGAGTTTCCTAGACAGAATCATTTCCTGGAGTGGGCAGCTCTGCCAGCTGGCCCCCGAAAACCTGTGTCAGTTGAGGGGTGGTGACAAGCAGAGATGGACAAGGATGGCTTTCATTTCAGACAACTGAGCATCAGAAGCAGGGATGGCTCTGACACCAGTGCATCAAGGTAATTCCAATGACAAAACTCAAGGTTTAGAACTGAGATTTTACTTAAAATGATTTCTGGTCATGTTAATGCCCTTAAAATGGAAAAGTAAAAATCACCTACAACACTGGCAGGGTGAAGCATTCAAACGTCAAAGTGTTTTGACAAGTTACAATTTCTTTTTATCGTAAAGTCCATCACCTACCCTCAAAAAAGGCAGGGCCCAATTATTTCTGCTTACAAAAGGCCACAGGGCCACATGACCCTGTGGGATGGATCCAACACTGAACCCAATCCCACCAAGTCCAAACATCAACAGGGCCTGCAGTATATAATGTCACCATCTTCCTCCCACTCCCAGCCCCCCACCGAACTTGGAAAAGGGATAAAAGTCAGGGAGAAAGCCAATTTACTTGCTATTTCAGTACTCTACCTGCTTCTTTCCTCCCACGTCCTCTTCCTTTTGCCTGTACTATCATGATCTCGGTTTCTTCTGTGGGTAGTTCGTTTATTTTTTGCAAGAAGAGCTTCTCCAGAGCTTCTGCCATTAAGACTATGTCATCTCCAGGCTGGATAAGGAGACACATGGGCAGAGTCAGAGGGCCCTCCCCTCCCCACCTCTGTAGACAGGGCACCCCATGCCACCCCCTGCCCCAAAGCATGAAGCGTCGTATTCCAGGTCCTTCCCCGATCTGCACCCAAAGGAGCCACAATGGCTACACTACCAGGTATCACAGAGGCTTGTGTTCCCATAGGTGTGCTGAGCCTACACTTGTCTACCTGCACCTCCCTCATGTTTTAAGCTCTGACCTGTCTGAGAAGCCATCCTAATGCCTTAAGCATCTGCCACGCTCAGCCGATCACTGAAAGGGGCCCTCCTTTGACACAATTCAATTTCACCAGAAATACTTGAATGACACAGGATTTCTTGCCATGATACATTAGCAGGGCCCCAACAATGCTCCCCAATGTACCCCCATGGCAGCTCACCAAGAGTCTGGGCACTGCGCATCTCACACTAGTTTAGGGGTCCCACTCTGTCACCTCATCTATAACATGCTGTTCCCGCTCAGTTCTAAACTGAGAGCCTGGTCTGCACATTTTGCTCAAACCTAAGTGGTGAGAGCTGAGACTTTAAAAAACACAGTAAACTTCAAGAAACTCACCTACCCATCTCTTCTGGGCATTTTTACCCACTACACCAGCAGAGGTCAAAAGCTGAGTTCTGTATAGTGTCTCCCTCCAGAGTCGTTCTATTTGAAAGGGTTGATTTTAATCACATCTGTGGTCTGAACTGTAAACAAATGATCTGGCTTCATGGCACAGCCGAGCCGAAAGGTTTGGCTACGGGGTTAGGAAGTGACCTTCAGGTCTACATGTAGGATCGGGGGGACACTTGATCTATGGCCAAGAGTTATCGACAGTCATGTCCACAGTTCCAGCAGACCAACACCCACAGAGCAGCTGAGCTCTGCGCCGGCCCCATCACACCCTCTCTCACGTGGAGGTCTCTGTTTGGGCACACCTCTGCACGACTACATTTTAGCAGGCTCTTTCCTAACAATTTACATCACCCAAATGGACTTTGTCATGAGTCGCCACTGTTCTCCTCGCACCTTCTCTACTAGACATGCTTAGGAACCAAAATCCCAAGGGCACCAGAAGCACATGCTTCAGGCTAACAAGGACAGCTTGTAAGTTCAACATGGCCAGTACCCTCCTCCCAGCAAAAAATCCCACACCCAGCCACAGGCACCACCACAGGTCTCATTACCTCTACCTCCAAGGGTCTCCTCTTGCCAAACTCGAAGCCCAGCCACACCCAGCACCCCTGCCCACGGGCTCCTGACATGCCCACTGCCGCGGCCTCCCCTCTTCTCTCCCAGGGCAGCTGGACACCCACCCCCATATCTCACCTTGTTGTAGATGTAACAATTTGTAAACATAGTGTTGAAGTCCTGGATACATTCCTGAGCATTCCAATAGTAGTTGTTTTCCAAGCGCTTCTTTATTGTTCCCATATCCATAGGTGTTTTAATGATCTTATAGTAATCCTGGAGACCAAAGAACAAAAGGCCAGTATCACTTAGGGAGCCAGGCAGCACAAACGTTGAGCTGGCCAGACTGGCCTGGGGACCTCACCCCGGGCTGCTCCACAGGTAAATCCATGGGAGCCATAGCTCCTAATGGCATCAGCAAGTGATCTTAAGGGGGAACACCAAAATAAAGTGGGGCAGGGAAGGGTTCCTGAATGCTGGAGAGTAATTCAGAGGGAAAAGGTACAAGTTTCCAACCGCCCTGTCTTGGAACAGGTTGGCTTTATAGAAATGCACGTTTTTTCTTTTCTTTTTAAAATATTCTTTCATTTTTAATAAATAAGGGGGAAACCAGGCAGCCTTTTAAAAGCAATTCTTACCCAGTAAAACCACCATGGCAGGTCCTACTTGTCCCCACCATTTGAAATTCTACCTGTCCATAAAATGCAAATCTCCGCAGCGCCAACGATGGAGCCCACACTTGACCACAGCACTCATGCCTTCTTGTCACCATGAAAAGCTGTGGAGCACAAGCTTCCACCCTTAGTCTAAGTTCACTGGACTTACGTTTCTTTCACTTGCACACAGTCTACCACTAAATATTCGTTAGTATCCAGATACAGTTGAACGACCAGGTTAACTGCCATATGACAAATCTGGACAACCTTCACAATCCTAAGTTTAAAAAAAAAATCCACCATCTCAACCCTCAAGCCTTCAGATCTTACTAAGTGCCAAACAGAAGTAGACAGATAACAGATGTAAATGTCTTAAAGTGCCTGAAATCAAACTGCATTATCTTTACAACTTTTACTCTAAATCTAAATCTATTTTAAAACCAAGTTCATTTTTAAAAACAACCACAGAAGGAATGCAGGGACAGAGCAAGCTGTGCCTGGGTTTCCAGGTATGAGGATCACAGAGGGCCAGGCAGAGGGGCTGCATACAGGCAGCAAGTCCCCAATGACTAGACCAGCTCAGGCTGTTGGCCTGATCCATTGAGAGCTATCACACCGTGTGAAGACAGGTGTTCCCGTCGTTAAGCTCAAGTGGCGTAACAGAACCAAATCCAAGTGGAGTCCCATTGTAGAGGGGGCAAGCTGCAGGCGGAGAGGCTGTTGCAGGGAGGAGAGAGCAGGTATGCTGCTAGACGTCAATTCCCGAAGCCCTGCTCAGGAATGGTAGTGGATAGTATTAGAAGGGGTTGCACAGTGCATGGGTGTGGGGTTTTTGAGATGTGACATCTATGAGAAAGGGACAGGGCCACCTGCTTACATGTAAGGGTTTGCCACAGTCATGGCACTGCCCTGGGGGTGAAGGCTACAAGTGCACACCCTGGTACCTTAGGCAAGTGGTCAAGAGGGGAGACTGGAAGCAGACTATCAGTGCCACTTCCTTCGCTCTGACTTCCTTTACCAAGTCCAAATAGATCTAACCCAGTGGAAATTTAGATTTCTCTCTATGGCCAAAGGCTACTAAATTGCCCACAGTGTGTCACGTGGCTCAAGGGCAAACAGGACAGTGGGGAGGAAGTGGGTGAAGGCAGAGAGAAAGGTGGGGGAAGTGGAAGTGCCGGCCTGGATAGTAGGTTTAGGGGTATGACAGGAGTCCAAAATGTGGATGAAGACTTGGAAGGCATCAGAAAACAGACAAAGAATACTTTTTGGGGTGGCCTTAACATCTCCAGAAGGAGTTCCCAGAAAACAGCTTTAGCATGACAATGCTCCTGACCAAGGACCCCCTTTAGTTCAGCCCCCTCCAAACGCCTGAGACCACTCTTGCCCACCAAGCTCCCTCCTCAGCTCCTTACTCTCCCATCTCTGAATACATCAGATCAGGGCCACCATGGATCGACCCCTTCTTCCAATATCAGAGCTAATGAGGGCAACATCAACAGTCATAGGGACAGGTAGATTCACACTCTGCCCAGAGCAAGAATGTCCTGCTCACTCTCCAGCCTGCACTTCAGAGACTGATCCTGAACTCCAAAACCCCATGGCCGAACCAAATACCCATACCTGTCTGTCCTGCTGGCCGGCACTGTTTCCTCAACCTTACCTGGGATGCTGGTGCGTGCTCAGCAATCTCAAGTCCCTCAGCTCTCCCTTCTCCTGTCTTCACCTTCTCAGCCCTCCCTGCATTTTCTTGTAACAAGCAGATCCCTCTGCTATTCTGGCACTGATACATTTCCCTTCAAAGCCAAGCTTCTTGAAATGGTGGCTTTACATTCTCACCTTCTCATTCACACCGTCGCAAATCTGGTTTCTACTTCTGTGTCACGTCTTCCTAAGGTCACCAATGCCTTCCTGAAGGTCAACAGGACGGTCAGGTCGGAATCCTCATCTCTTTAACCTCCCTGTAGCTTCTGATATGGGCATCTGGGGAAATGCTCTCTTCTGCAGGCCTTCTGCCTTCCCGGCAACCCCCAAGGGCCTCAGAGAGCTCTGGGTTCCACTCCAGCCCCCAGATCCTTCTCTCCTGGTTCTGTGCTATGAGAATGTCACTCTCAACTATGGACCCTGTCCCAGCTAGAGACTGGTGCAGTGAGCTCCCTTAACAGTCTCCCTCCCGCAGGCCACCACAGCTGACTGCCTCCACTCCTTATCTCAGTCAATGAAGACTGTGGCCCCTCTTTTTCCTCCGTACTTTGCCTGAGCCAATTCAAGATCCAGACCCGCAGTGCCCTCTTCTGATTATTTTCCCCTAAGTGCATGACAGATACTCAGTGAACCAATAACACCAGGAGTTCTTACAAACACACTGGCTTTAAACTTGGGAGTCTAGACACCTGGCAGAGGCTAAGGCCACTCCTACACATGAGTAGCTCTAGTGTGCACACACCAGCCTGGGTCAGTGGCTGCAATCACCTAATGCACTCACCAGGGGGTGTATGGGACTCGGCAAACAGCAAAGGACAATTTAAAGACAATCAGTCCTTGGTGTTTTAAAGAAAATTAAAAAAATGAAAGCATTTATTCCATCTGCTCCCCGAGGTTCAGTTGGAGAAACAAGCTGTGCTTGCACAACAGTTTGCTAGGGATATGGGAAAATGGAAATCTCTCTAGGGAAAGAAAAGAGGGGTGGGCTGACAAAAGCACAAGAGCAAATGTGCTGCAGCCACAGGGAGGAAGGGAAACACCCCTGTGCAGCTGCAGCCCCAGCCACCTTTCTCCAGCCAGGGCTGCCTTCACGTACTTGCTCCCTGCAATGTAATCCACTACCTTTCCCCACCGTGTGCTCTGGGTGACAGTGATGACGATGCTAGGCGACTGCTACCACAGCAAACCAATCCTCCTCTAACACAGTTTGATTAACTATGTCTACTTATCCTTAATCAACTATGTCCACACTTGGGAAGGGGCGAGGATGGCCAAGTGCTCTGACTTCAATTCATCATGGAAATGGAAGTAGATCCGTCGGCCTCCCTTTCTCCCACTGCTTCAACCTCTAAACAGCTTTCCCCAGGACTCCAATATCTAAGAAACCAGCTATTGTTAAGTCAATTAGCTCCTTCTTTCTCCCGAATTTCAACTGATCAGAACTGCTGAAACCACTCACTCAAGGGCCCTGCAGCTCACACCATGAATCCAAATGCATCTCCTGCCCTGCCCCAGAGTCTGTCCTGACCAGGAGACATGCAGGAGACAGGAGACCTTGAGGACAGCAGACGGCAGCCCTGGGCCCTACTCATGCTACTCACAGGGAGGTTCAGCTTGACGGCATCCACAGGCTGCTGGAAAGGCCACGCAAACTGGTGTTTCCATAGTGTCTTGAGCACCACTCTGAGCAGGTATTGCAGTTGGTTGGTCTGCCTCTTGGGCTTGTTAGGGTTGGAGGTCTCTGGGGGCGGGGGGTTGGTGCTGGCTGCATTGGCTGGCTGGGGTTGGGCCTGGGCCTGCGTTGTAGACATTTGGGAAGTTTCTAGTCCATCCCCCATTACTGGCAGATTTCTCAATCTTGTCCCAGGGCCGCTCTCCGCAGACATGCTAGTGATCCCATCACATTCTTCACCAGGCACTCTACAAAGGAAGAGAAGAGTCCCCATGAGAGACCAGTTAGCAGATGAGCACCGCTTGGAATGACAAGTCCCTCTGGCTTGTGGCTCCGAGGATTGAGCTGCCCTGGCAGTAGCTGGTCAGGTTGGTGAGGGGGGGCGGGCAGGAGCCACCTCATGTTTTGTCTGCAAGGGTTCCAATGTCTTTTCTCCGCAAAGACTTACCGTCTAGCAGGGAGGAGACCACGTACCAACAGAGGAGGCAAAGTGAGGTGGTGAGAGCCTACCAGGAGCCAGCAGGGGTTCTGGGAACTATGGAGATCATAGGGAAGGAGGTACAATGAAGCCACACCTCACAAACCTGCACATTCCTTTTCCCACCTGTGAGCTTTTAGGAGATGCTGCCTGTGTGTGGAGAAAAATGATTTGCAGGCTCCCAAATATGACATTTACGTTAAAATTGTTTGCATTTATCGCTCACAAAGCATTGAGCTAAGTCAGTAATTCCATTTGATGGGTCAGGCGGGGAGAAGCAGGAAGGTTGGGCCTGCCCATCCGTGGATGGCCCACCCAGTCCACTGCTCAGGGCAAAGCCACAAACTTATTAAGAATATTTTCTTGGTAATTTAAATAATGCAGGTTTGCTGAGGAAAGAATCTGCATGTTTACCGCAGATAAAATAAAAATGAATCCATACTAGTCCTACCATTTTCCTAACTATAAGGTGCACCTCCAGTGGCAACACAGGCCCCTGCTGTTAAGTGCCTCAGCACCCACTCTGATGCCCTTCCCTCACCTGAACAACCCCTACTGAGAGCCACCCCAACTTTGCAAACTCTGCCACAAGCATCCTCACAAGAGTGATTCTGAACACCTGTCCAGTTTTTCCAGTGGGACAAATCCCAAGATGAACAGCCACCAAGTCAAGGGTATGCATGTTTTTATTGCCAAATTGCCCTCCTGAAACACAACCCACCTCTTGCAGTGATGTGAATTTCCATTCTGATGATTCATTCATTTGCTCAGATGTATAGTGGTCGTTTGCATCCTTTTTGTGACACTTTTCTACTGGCAGTAAATACATACATATAGTTGGCTTTTTAAACCCAGTTCTGGTAGTAAGAAAAACTCTGAAAGCTAAGGGCTGACTACATCTATCAAGCATCTCTAGTAATAAACCTAAGAGCTCAGTGAGGATACCATTCTGGAATAAACTTTTAGTGGGTCCAGAAGCAGCTTTATGTGTAGCACACAGTAGGCACCCTAGCTGACAGTGAATTACTTTTTGTAATTTATTTAAACCAAGGTTACACAAACTTTTTTGTAAATACAGTTCTGGCAAATAATCCTATTTTAAAAGCGCCAAACGGAGAATTTGATACATAAAGCAAATCCACGGACTAGGCTATGGAGATAGGCGGCCAGTGAGATAGGAGAAGACACAGGGACAAATGACACCAGCCGCATACCAGCTCACTGGGAACCTTGGATGTAGTGTACCAGTTTTGGTCCAGGCATAGATAGATTATAGGACACACCAAGTGACTGGACACAAGTATTGGTAGAAAGACAGCGATCACAGACAAGGAAACACATCAGTGGGGTTTCAACCTCCCTCACATGTGGAGTTGGCTGGAGAGGGCTTCCATGCAGCATGACCAGCAAGTCCAAAGGGACCCAAGGGGATAAGTGTGATGGGGCTCCATCACAAGGGGAGGCCTAAAGGCACTGGGGAAGCCTAGATCCTGGGATGGAGGGTACACAGAGTGAGGCCAAGGAATGCCATGTAGTTTGGTTTCTACGAGTACATTTATCCTAGAAAGCAGCTCCAGAAACATACAGCTGATGCTATGCACCAAGCACATGCCAGCTGACTGATGGCAGGCAGTGGCGGGGGCAGCCCAGCCACAAGGACACAGGTCACCAGGGGGCAAAGCCCAGTTGTCCCAAAAGGAAGCAGCCCCCATAAATTTTTCATTAAGCAACGACATTCTGGAAATCCCCAACCACTGCCCCTGAGACAAGATGAGGCCAAGGAAACACTTCTAGAACTTATGGGTTGCGCCATGCTTGTCTCTTTCCAAAAAGACTTGCAGCAAAGCCATGGGATGAAGGACTCGTGTGCTCTGGGCCAGTGACCACTCTTCTTCACCTTCTCATCAGGCCCAAACAGGACCTTGAGCCAAGAAAGCTGAATTTTCTTATTTTATTTTATTTTTTCCTTTTTGAGAAAGAGGGTCTGTCACCCAGACTGGAGTGCAGTTGTGCAATCCTGGCTCACTGCAACCTCTGCCTTCCGGGGGTCAAGTGATTCTCCTACCTCAGCCTCCCCAGTAGCTGGGATCAGGTGTGTGCCACCATGCCTGGCTGATTTTTGTATTTTCAGTAGAGATGGGTATCACCATGTTGGTCAGGCTGGTCTCAAACTCCCAACCTCAGGTGATCTGCCCGCCTCAGCCTCCCAAAGTGCTGGGATTATAGGCATAAGCTACCACGCCCAGCCAGAAGCTGGATTGAGGAAAAAACCAATTTTCTATAGAAAACCTGACTCTTGAACCTTGCCTCATTTGGTGCTTTAAGCCACTACAAAAGCCAAAACACCCTTCCCTAGCCAGCCAGCTCACAAGAGATGCACATCAGTTAAATCCTCAACAATGCCAACATTGCTTCTGGCCTCATCGCCACTTTACAGATAGGGAAACCAAGGCAGAGAGAAGTAGCTGACCCAGGAGTGGAAAGACCAGGTCTAGGCAGACAGGGTGGCCCAAAAGGTTGCATCTGATTCCTGGGCAGTTTAAGTTGGCCTTTGAACTAAGGAAGTCGTCACTAGCGAGCTGCACACGCGTGTACACACACACACACACACACACACACACGAAGTGCCCAACACAGTCACGATACAGTGGCCACCATCCTTAACACACACCCATAATGACCAAGGGCAGGCCCTTGAGGAAAGAAACTGCTAGAGGTTGTTTGAATTAAGCTATGACAAGTTCAACACATGAGACAAACCTGGGAACTAAAAGTACCCCAAAGTTTCTTTAAGGAGGCTCTGAAGATAGCCAGTGAAAGTGACATGTGGCCGAGCTCAGTAGCTGACGCCTGTAATCCCAGCACTTCAGGAGGCCAAGAAGGGTGGATCACCTGAGGTCAGGAGTTTCAGACCAGCCTGGCCAACATGGTGAAACCCCATTTCTACTAAAAATACAAAAAATAAGCCAGGCATGGTGGCAGGTGCCTGTAACCCCAGCTACTCTGGAGGCCAAGGCAGTAGAACTGCTTGAACCCAGGAGGCAGAGACTGCAGTGAGCCAAGATTGCACCACTGCACGCCAGCCTGGGTAACAAGAGTGAAACTATGTTTTTTTAAAAAAAAAAAAAAAAAAAAAAAAAAGCCAGCAAGACAGACAGACATAAAGACAGAAAAGAGAGAGAGAAAGAGGGGGAAGGGAGGGAAGGAAAAGAAGAGAGAGAGACACACATTCATGGCTCCACAAGAGGGGTCACCAAAAGATGCCTGCGACTCCTGTTCTGCACGCACTCTGGGCCTGTGTAGCAGCACCTGCACCTCAAGGGGCCACGCTGATCTACTGCTATGCCCGCAGCCTTCCCGTCTGCTATGCCCGCAGCCTTCCCGTAACTACAGAAAGACTGACCCTTGGGAAACTTCAAAAGCCCATTCTTACTGCAGTGACAAGAAACATGAGGAAAACCAATCACTTCTAGTCTGCTACGGGGCAAGAAAGAGAAGTACACTGAGACGTCCTATGTTGAGAGTCAGATGACTTTTCCAAGACCCAAATTTGATGAGGTCAGCCTCCTTGGTTGAATTCTTCCCACAGTGGTTGCCCCCATCCCACCCACACTGCCCCCAGGCCATTAGCATCTATGATCCAATAACAAGTCGCCACCCCTGTCACCTTCAGCCTTTGATCTGCTACCCCTGCTGCCAGACAAGACAGATGGATGGACACAGATCTAGGCTCACAGTCTCTCTCTCTCTGGCCCACAGCATCTGGTGCTTCCTTAATCTCCATCTAGTGAGTTCCATGGTCAGCCCCATGGTAGGCACCCCTGGGAACCTGAAGGCAGGCTCATCTTTATTTCACTTTTGTCCTCCCACCCAGCACACAGGAGGTGTACCCTCAGCAACCACACCCATATTGTCACCTTGGGGCTTCCAGCTAGATCTCAAAGTTCTGGAAAAGAAAAACAGTTCATGCTCTCAACATGGATAATGTGGAGACCACCAGACTGTCACTTCCTCAGGCAACAGGTCCTAACATGCCTTGCCCTGGGACTCAGCAGCTGAGGTGGCATTTTCCCGAGTGATTAGGGAACACTTAGGGGCAAATACCGTGGAGGAGAAGAGCAGGGCTGCTCTAGCCGTGGACGGGGAGAGGGATTTGCACTGACCTAGAGGGACAAGGCGGCATCTCTGAAGAAGGGACAGAGAATGAGACCGGAGGGGAGGAAGAGTGTGTGCACTTCTGTGGTGGGGGAGAGGCAGCGGCAAGAGAAGGCATGCCTGGCATAGTTAACAGGAGACAACATTTTCAAAGTTTTCCATTGAAAAGATTAAAAAATGTTGCTCCCTTTCCATTTTCATACTGACTTGTGGCCATTAAAAGCAGGAGCCACCACTCACCATGTTAAGAGTTACCTGAAGGTCAAGGGAAAGGAAAAACATTTTGCTTATTGTTTCCAATCCAAAGAAGGCTACATAATTGAACTGGATGTCCTATTTTTGTATCTACCTCCAATAGATAGATATCACGTTCTCAGTGTAGAAGAACAGGATGAAGCGAGGTTAGACAAGGCCATAGCTCCCAAACTGAGTACCCAGGTGCCCTGGAGATGTCATGGTAAACTCAGATGGCACTGCAGGAAGTATTAGCACAAGGCAATTGATCATTTCAACATCAGATTGCATTATACTACTTTCAACAATGTCACAGCCTGCAACACTTGGTGATCAGCAGTTGCTACAATAAAAAGCGAAGATTGCCTGGGCGCAGTGGCTCATGCCTCATCTCAGCACTTTGGGAGGCCAGGGCAGGTGGATCACCTGAAGTTAGGAAATTGAGACCAGCCTGGCCAACATAGTACAACCCTGTTTCTATTAAAAATACAAACAAAACAAAACAAAACAAAACCAAACCCAGGCGTGGTTTGCATCTGTGGTCCCAGCTACTTGGGAGGCTGAGGCAGGATAACTGCTTCAACCCAGGAGGCAGAGGTTGCAGTGACCCAAGATGGCGCCACCATGCTCCAGCCTAGGCGACAGAGTGAGGCTCCACCTCAAAACAAACAAACAAAAAAAGCAAAAGTCATATAAAAATATATAAAAATCAACATTGGGCCGGGCGTGGTGGCTCAAGCATGTAATCCCAGCACTTTGGGAGGCCGAGGCGGGTGGATCACGAGGTCAAGAGATCGAGACCACCCTGGTCAACACGGTGAAACCCCGTCTCTACTAAAAATACAAAAACATTAGCTGGGCATGGTGGCGCGTGCCTGTAATCCCAGCTACTGAGGAGGTTGAGGCAGGAGAATTGCCTGAACCCAGGAGGTGGAGGGTGCGGCGAGCCGAGATCGCACCATTGCACTCCAGTCTGGGTAACAAGAGTGAAACTCCGTCTCAAAAAATCAACATTAACAGGAAACACAGGTAGTGACATGCAATCTGGTTCTGAGGTTTCAGGATTCGTGCGGTGTCCAACAGGCAGACACATCCTTTAGAAAGTAACTATGGGCCGGGCACAGTGGGTCACACCTGTAATTCCAGCACTTTGGGGGCCTGAGGCAGGTGGACCACTCAAGGTCAGGAGTTCAAGACCAGCCTGGCCAATCTGGTGAAACCCTGCCTCTACTAAAAATACAAGGAAAAAAAAAAAAAAAAAAAAAAATCGGCCCGATATGGTGTTACGCGCCTGTAATCACAGCTACTCCAGAGGCTGAGGCATGAGAATCACTTGAACCCAGGAGGCAGAGGTTGCAGTGAGCTGAGATTGCGCCACTGCACTCCAGCCTGGACAAAAGAGTGAGACTCTACCAAAACGAAAGTAACTATGGTTATGTAAGGATAATATATTATTACGTTTTTTCAGACGGCTACACAATTGAGACATTGGTACTTACTGTGTTGCTTGTGCTTAACCACCTAATAAACAAAATTGTTGGCTATTTCCTTTAGCCTAGGAGTATCATAGGAAAAAAACTGAGATGTTTAAAGATGTCGTGAACCAAGAAAGTTTGGGAACCTCTGGGTTAATGAAAGTAAAAATGTAAATTTTCCCTCTAAATTCGTAGACCTCTGATTAAGCATGCCTGTTTACAAAGATGTTCTTTGCAATCATAATATTTAAGTGAATTTTGGGAAATTTTAGGCATAGTACTTAACAGAGAATACAACTATAAAGTTGTGTAACTTTGAACAGAAAAAAAAAAAAAGGTTTCCTTGGACATTAACTTTATTTATAATCCAGCCAATAGTTCAGACAAATTAGAAATCTAAAGATGCAGAAAACAAAAAATCCATAACAAGGTGAGAAAGTTTGAACACTTTCTGCAATGATGAAGTTCCTACTTGCAAAGTGGATGGCAGCAAGCCCTCTTCCTTCATTGGCATCCTCCAACAAGTCACAGTTCTCTTCATCGCCTACCCCAATTAGCTCCTATCCTTTGACAGGGCTTTCAGGGTCTCCAGACAGGCTTTGTTCTGAGCCCACTCATCACAAAGAAGCCTGGCCCCAAGCAACCTTTTCCCAGACCAGGAAAGGAGATTAGAAAGCAGGATAGAGATAAATACAGACATGCAGGACAGGCTTAGTTCTGGGACTCTGAAGGCAAGCCAGAGAAGAAAAGAGAAAGACCACAAACAACTGCCCAGAATCTGCTGATTGCTGGAGATTGAGTTCCCAGTTCCAACCACCGTAAGTCACTGAGAAACCTAGTGGGTTGGGACCAGCTATATTTTGCATTTGTGGTTCTACCTGAAGTCCTGGCCTCCCAGTGGGCCTCCTGAAACCCAGTGATCCTACCTCCACTCTGTCTGGTCTGTTCAGACTCATTCGTCTCCTAAAGTGATGGGGCACACAGGCAGAAAGACACCAGAGAAGGCAGGAGCAGTCGCCAAGACGATGGCTGGTTAACAGACGGCTTTCTGAATTCTCCCGTAAAATATGGTGACCACACTTAGCACAGATTTACACAAGCCATCAACACACAAACATGCACTAGGGCCTAG